TGAAACATTAATGGCAGATGAGAAAAGTCAAAAAACAAAGCTGAAAAATTTTTTAAGTCTAACTGCTTCATTTCGTGCAGGCGTAAGTAAACACTCACGAACCAGGAGCAACATGTCAGCAAAAAATGAAATGAATCAAGTTTACATCCATCTCTTCTGTTACTTCTGCTAGGGCAGCAGCATTAGCCTGTTTTTTTAATTTCCACTTGTCATTTCAGCCTCTGACAAGGGGAAAGATTAGTTGAAAATTTGAAGGTATTATATCGACCTTTGTTAGAATTGAACCCCGGTCAACAGGTTAGAACACAAGCTTCTAACTCACTGAGCCACCATGGCTCCATAAGAAGTCAACAAGAATATACAAAAGGAATATCCTCGACTCATAAAAATTTGGAGGATTCTGATTGGTTAATAAATATAAGTAGTACCTACTTAATATTTTTGGCTTCGTAAGATAAATATGTCGATTTAAATTCTGAGAAATTTATCTGTTTTAATTCATAGCATCGCAAATCAGTTTCTTTATCTAATGGATTTCTTCGTGATGTCGGCCATTTTGTTACGCCTATAAAAAATATATATTTTAGATACTGAAATAAGAAGGAATTAAACGGGACCAAAACAATATCTAGGTTTGGACAGATTATGGGCTAATGAAGACGGGCAACGCCATTGCAGGGTGCAATGAATGAAATTTTGCCAGGACAGCAGCATTTTTCGATCACCAACTGTCAAGGGATCTTTAACGTGCACAGTCTGTAGCACACGGGGCCTGGGTTTATTGTCCCATTCGGACAGCCATCACTGACGGGGTAATCAGGTTGAAAAATCTGAAGGTATTATCTCAACCTATGTTGGGATTGTACCCTGGACCTTCAGCAAGCGTCTAACTCACTGAGCCACCGTGGCTCCCACGAACCATGTTATTAATAATAATGTTTTAAATATAAAATGATCCTACCATCTGATATATCACTATATGGTATTTCATCTGATGGTACTCCTGGACTATTGGGTGTCTTTGAACAATGGTTTTTCTTATCTTTCTCTACTGGACTCTCATCTCCCACATACCGAAACTCAACATTAATATTGCTGCGAGCTAGTTCCTCACTCTACAATGAAATTAAAGCTTTGAATAGACAAGGTGTTTGGTGAAATCGATACAGTAGAAAATAGAAGAAGTTCAGATAAGCTTTCTACTATATGATAATCTGGCACTGTACATTGTTACACCTATTTAGTTAGTTAATAACACTGCTAAAAAGCTTTAACATATAACATAACATTTAGTCCTTACATCATCTTTATAGATAGACACTGTCCTTCACAATCTCAAACTATAACAAACTCTTGACTGTAATAGCCATCTTTCTTGTATGACAGAAGATTGAAAATGCACCGATTTGATTGGATTGTATGATAGCGAATACAGTCAATCAGAGCTCTCCAAAGAAAGCATGCAAACCATAAGTCATAATGTTTACAGTCTTTCTATCGAGGGCTCTGGTTGGCTGTATTCGGTATTGTCTAATTCGCTGCATTCCATGATAAAAGACAAATTGCTCGTAATAGCTTGAAATTGTGAAGATATTGTTCTTCATGAAAGTTACATATAAAAATGCAAATTGTTTTAATAATACTGTTATTATAACATTGGGATAACACACAACCTAGTGTTTACAATAACAACAAGCTAAATAACACTAGATTACACCTCTAGATAGTTAATAACACTATACAATAAATACTGTTACAGGAAATCATGGTATTGCACTAGACCTTATGAAAATAACACATTCAGTTAATAACACCCTTACTGTTATTATAACATGTTATATGACATTTACTTTGGTAAAATAAAATTAGATTTTAAAGAGCAGGGTTTCTCAAGTAAATTAAGGTTTTATTTAAGGGCCTGAGTGGGGTCAAGAGGTAAAATACATGATTAGGGTCAATGGTACAAAGCCCCCTGGAAGCTGCAATGGAGGGGTTTTGGTATTTCAAATGGCTCTACATCCAACTTGTTGAGCCCATAATTATAACTTGATAGTTGTCCCCAGACCCCCCCGCCGCCCAAGTTGCTCTGCCCCACTATTTCTTCCCGCAGTGTCTGGAGCTGCCACTGTAAGAAACCCTGATATAAAACATGCAATACCATGCAGAATTATGTTACAAACTGAATCAACAACAAAAATGTTTTAAAGCATACAAAAATAACAAAGAAACAGAGTTTGTTATCAAGTGAACTATGGCAACAAAAACTACATACAAATGTTTAAAACAAACTAAAACTAAAGATTAAATAACAAATTAGTTTACATTATACCACCTTTAAAATGTCAAAATATTACATTGTACTTATACCTTGACTGCAATAGCCATTATTCTTGTACCACAGAATACAGCGATTTGATTCGATTGTGGGCTAGTAAATACAGTCTATCAGAGCTCTTGACAGAAAGTCTGTACATAATAAGCCATAATGTTCATAATTTTTCAAGAGCTCTGATTGGCTGTATTTGCTATTGTACAATGTAATCAAATCATTGCATTCTGTGATACAAATATAGTGGCTATTGCAGTCAAGGTATGAGTACGAAGTTCGTAAAACCTTGATATTGTGAAGATGACACTATACATGCCTAATTATAAACAAAACACAAAAAATAACAAAATTAAAACAATATTAAAACATAACATTCAGACAGAGATATAGTCCAGTAAGATTATTAACGTACATCCAGGGGTGATTCAAAACACAAACAATCAACATCATTTTAGCTAGCGTCAGTGGCGTTGCTATGGAGCATAAGGTGAGGGGGCCAGGTAGGGAACGCAAAATTTTAACCAAGCCACTGGTCATTCTTTCCCCTAGTTAAATGATAAGAAATTGAAAGAAGCCGCCAAAACCAGGACTTTCCTGTAGAGACGTCAGTGGGTAGCCAAAGTAGTACTGAACACAATATAAGTTTAGTTTGTATAGTTTCTAATTATATATTCTATAAACACAATTAGTCCACTTTATTTTGAAGTAGAATAGATAGTTATAGAAGCTATACAGACTAAACTTACATTGTGTTATTACTACTTACTAACTTAAAAGTGGACTTGATTACTACTTGAACTACCTCAAATTAAATGGACTGTTTGTGTTTTTTTCTATAAGCCCCTGGATGTTCATCCTACATATATTTTTTCAATTCACTTTTTGAAAAAAACAAAAAATTGAAAAAAGAAATCATGCTCACAACACACAGTTATATAATCAAAAGTCACCTGTCCTTCTTTCGCCAACTTTTAGTCCCGAATTTTTCTTTTCCTTTTCCCAGGGATGTTGATTTAACTGTATTTACCAGTCATGTCTGACTTAAGATTCCACACGCTGATTATCTTCAGCTGAAGCTTGGACAACTCTCCATCTGGCCCACCACTAATCCCTAAAATACCCATCAAATCCCCTCCCTTAGGCTTTCTTCCTGCTACGGACAAAGGCAACATTAGCATCTGCAGACTAAGCCTTACAGTCCAAATGATTTTCAGCATTAAGCAATCTTTTGAGCCACCTTCACCCTTTTAAAAAATCGCAAAAACGCAAAAAAAAAACACAAAATTTGTAAGCAATTAGAATCTTTAATAGAATGATCATTTATCACACAAAAATATTTCCATGGTTATTTAGCAATATAGTTCAGGGCTCTTGATTTACTTGGCTTAGATACCAGTCATGTCTGACTTGAGCATTAAAATGTCTTTGATTTTAAAATATTTTACACTAAATTCCACATATTGGAATTTAGAAATATTAAAACAGAAACTGAACCTTGCTATTGCAAGAAAAAGTTCTACTCTGAATCCCTCATCAAGGAATTTAAAAATATTAAAACAGAACCTGAAACATGTTGTTACTCCGAGTTTCATGATGAGCGCTTTAGAAATTTTTTGATCTTCTGAAATTTGTCAATCTTGACAATAAAAAATAAAGGAAAATAGACACCATCTTTCCTCAGTCAAACCTCGAACAACCCACAATAAACAAAGATTGAGATCAGAAGAAATAAATAAAATTTGCTTTGAAGAGATATAGTTTTCTAAATATCTGAATTACCAGCTACCTTTAACACTTTTCAGAATGATATTTTGACATCAAGTTTGTCAACAATTACATGATTTTCAAGACAGCCAATCAACATGCCTCTTCATAGTCATTTTTACATTTTGTTTTATGAATAATAAACAATAATATATCAGTACAGGTCACCTCTCTTATGATTAGGTTAATACCCACTGCCTCAAATGCAGCCATTTGGATAAAGTTTACCACAGTCTCATGAGTTAATAGATAAGGCTCAGGGTTGAAACACTGATGATATATTTTCTAACAGCTGATAAAGCTGAAAATTAGACTACAATATCCCTTCAAATATATCATGATTAATATGCGCATAATTAAGATAATCTAGATAATAGTAGCAAATGAAATTTATGTCCTACTTTTTGCTCTCGAAAGCGAAACATGAAGTAGGCAACCAAGATTTTCATTTTGTCCAAGTTAAAAATCATGATTCAAAAACAAAATACAACAACTTAACAACAATAACAAATGTAATATTTTAAAATATTCAGGACAAAGTCCTAATGAGTATCAGAATTGTCTATATACGACAATGAAAGTTTCTTCAACAAAGTGGCTTTTTACAATTGGTGTCGAAATGAACTGCCCTTTTGGGTCTATGTTTTTTCAAAATAAAATTTTAAAGCATGTGATACTAGAGTACAACTAAATAAGCAACTAAACTGTCTTGTTTAATGATAATCTTTGCAGGACAAGCTTAAAAAAATAGCAGATTATCATTCTTTCAAATTCAACTTTCAAAATTATCACGACTAAAATTTTGATGTAAAAAAATTACAAAACATATCTTAACTTTGATGTAAGGCTCATTTTGATTGGCTGAAAACATTTTCATCATCTAGTAACAAAACACAATAGAAACAAAAGCCAATAATATACAGGGATGTTGATTTGACAATTTTTACCAGTCATGTCTGACTGTTGTTATATTTTTAATTATTTTGACATTTTCTAACAAATCAAAATTGGCTTAAGTATTGACCTTGAATTTAAAAGCTTTCAAAATTTGATTTTTAATTTTATATAAGACACTTTCTACATTTTTCTAAACTGGAACAAAATTGAAGTAAATATCAAAATACTTCGCAAAATACCTAGTAAAATATCTAGTAAAAATACCTAGTAAAATACCTAGTAAAATACCAGTAAAATACCTAGTAAAATACTATAAATAGTAAAATACCAGTAAAATACCTAGTAAAATACCAGAACTAGTAAAATACCAGTAAAATACCTAGTAAAATACTAGTAAAATAACTAGTAAAATAACTAGTAAAATACTAGTAAAATAACTAGTAAAATACTAGTAAAATAACTAGTAAAATAACTAGTAAAATAAAGGCAAATCAACATCCTGATTCCAATGTAAAATGAATTAAAAGTAAAAATTAAGGAATGTTTTATGATGCCCTACAAAAAAATCTAAAAAAGGAAAAAAACAAGTGGTGAACTGTGAACACTTCTATATAAAAATAATACACCTTAATTATAGTATTAATTTAATCCAATTAGGTCTCTAAAAACCTGAAATTTGATTAGGAAAATGGCAAAATAGTGTAAAACTGATCATATAACTTTCAATAGTAAAAAATAAAATAAACGTCCACATTTCCACGCATTGAGGTTCACGATCAATTTAATAAAATAAAAATTCTAAGTATATTTGAGATTGAAATTTCTATTTTAAATCTTACTTATTTCAACTTAGAAGTCTTCAAAAGTTTACATCTAAAAAGCGCATTTTATCTTTTAATTGAATGTGATAAAGCAAAAAGTAGCATTGAATTTTATATTTGTAAGGTGTTAAACTGTAAATTATCTAAATGTCCACGCAAGAGCTTTAAATTTCATACTCAAAAGTCCTAAATGTTTGAAAGATTATCTCTGTAAAGTGTTAATTTTCCATAAATGATTTCTGTTAAAGCATTGAAATTTTCATTTTAGAGCAATTAAAATTTGAACAGTCAAGTGATAAAATTTCCAAGTGCAAAGGTCCTCTGTAAATGTTACTATTCCAAAAGTTTATGTCTGTAAAACCATAAACTTCTGTAAAGCCTGAAACTTCTGCTAAGTTTACCTACGTACAGCCATTTTTTCCTTAACATTATCTCTTAGAAGCCTTAAACTTCTGTAAAGTTAACCTCTGTAAAGCGTTAAATTTCAACAAGTTTATATCTTAGAAGCGTTAATTTATGTGTTAACACTTACATAAGAACGATATTGAGCTTGGTCACATCCTGGTGATTTTATACCATCATTAAATATAATACATTCATTATCTTCAACGTGGATATCGTTAGCATCCTGTACGAAGATCAGCTTCTGATGTAGAACACCATCGATAAACTCCAACTTAATATGAGGTTTCTTCTGCTCAGTCTAAAAAAAAATACGGAAGAAAATTAGCAGGGAATCAAGAAATCCTAAATTATTCAAATCAAGATAATAACATAAAATATCTTTGGGAATCTTACTCATGAAAAAGTCACCATTCTTGTATCATGGAAATTTGTAAATGCCGCAATTGGTTGGATTGGATGTTAGTGAATACTGCAGTCAAGGTATAAGATGAAGTTCGTAATAGCTTGACATTGTGAACGATGACCTAACGAGTGAAATTAATTCCCTAACGAAGATAAGCAACATCAAGCAATGTGCAATACTGTAGCCCCGCCCATAGCAGTTTTTTTATGAGGAAATTTTGACAAAATGTGACATCAGAATGGTGTATATAAAAGCTAATGTGTACCACATACATTGGCTTGAAAATCTATTTGAAATCCCTTTCATTCAAACCAAACAGTGTAAAAAAAAAGCTTTAAGTGTCTCTGAACACTATAAATTCAGAATGGTGTAAAAACAACATATAAGCATTTCTGATACACTGTTTTCTAATTTAACTAAAATTCTCTGATACACATACAAAGGCAAGAAAACCTTTTTATATCAACTTTAACTTGCTAAGAGAATTTAGAATTAGGCACAGAACCTTCAAATTGAACTGAATACGAGAGAATTGTTAAAAATAATTCAAAAATTCAAAAACTAACAAAAACATCACTAAAACACACATTTAAAGCCAAGTCGTGTAGCTCATGCAATTTACATTTTATTTCAGGGAGGGAGGGAGGCAGGGAGGGAGGGGGTGGGGGATTCCACACACTTCAACATACACACAAGACAACAGTTAAAATAAAGCAAAAATCTATGCATATCCAGGGGATATCCTTGCTCACTAACCTAAAGGTCAAGGGTTCAATTCCGGCATAGGTCGAGATAATACCTTCAGATTTTTCAACCCTGTCAGTGAGGCTGATATGGAAAAAGCATCTTGTTGTTCGGATGGACAATAAACCAAGGCCCTGTGTGCTAAAGGCTGTGCACGTAAAAGATCCCTCGACCGTTGGAAATCGAAAAAAAGGGCAGGCTTATAACGCTATCCTGGCCAAATTTCCCTCATTGCACCCTGCATGGCGTCACCCGTCTTCATTAGTCCATATGGTGCAGAAAAGTAGGACGTAAAATAGCACTCATTTCATTTCATGCACATCCACGGAAAATTCAAAACAGGAAGAGGAACAGTCCACTTTAATTTTAGGTAGTTTAGGTAGTTTCTGTTACTATCTATTCTACCTAAATATACAATGGACTGATAGATGTACACTAGTACTATCTTTGATTGACTAAATCAAACCTGGATACAGGATGTCCCAAGTCCCAATACAACATTATCAGACTAATATTCATTCACTTTAGAAGCTGCATTCATACAAGACTGGCAAATACATCTAAATCTACACAAACTAGGCAACTATCAAAGCTATTAATACAAACATAACTGGCAAATACTGTTAAATCAAAAACCCTATGCGTTGTTATATATTAGTGCAACATCATAAATACGGAGGCCAGTTAGAATAACTCAGTGACACGTGACTGGATGGTGAATACTTATTACATGTACTACCATATAGAATTTGATAATTGGTTCCCAATCATAGCCTTGTCCTACAAATCTGACCCGAACTGTCCTCGGACATGACATACTGACGGGATATCATCACGATTAGGACCAAACTCAAATGGTCACATTTTATGGGAGTTGCTCTGATCCAATTTTGGATCGCTTGTTTTTGAGAATTCCGTCATGAAAAGCCAAAATTTGGTATAACATTTGATATTGATACGAAGCTGAATCATTATTGAATTGATCAAGACATTTCCAGATATTCTACAATGTCTGTGTGCCCCTACAGAGTACCACAAGTACCCTCACGGTAATAAGATACAGTCAAGGGGTAGGCTTAACTTACGGCTAAACAGGACTCGACTGTATTTACATAATTATTTTGCGTTAACTGTATCACAAACAATTTAAAAACAAACACAACAACGAAGTTTAAACAACAGTAAAACGGTAAAATTAATGACCCCTACCATGCACTGAGTGGAATGTAGGCTGAGAGGTCGTACGAATAATTTAGGGGGAGTAATAACATGAGCTACAAGACCTGAATGTGTCTTCATTGGAATTAAACACTGAAATTTACCAAAAAATATTTCAGTTTCTGAGAGAGGTGATGTAAAACGATCAAAATCCAAAACACTTTCAGTTTTCCTGTGTGACATAAATCAATCAAAAAATATTTGAGAATTTGTACAGAGTGGCCAAATACTACAAAAAAATACTTCAGTTTCTGTGAGAGGAGACCTAAACATCTGCCTCTATTCCAGCCACAGATAGCTTTATTAACAGTTGTGGGCTAGAGTAAAGACAGAAAACTAGGCCCTGTTTTGTGGGGATTTTTCACACCTCCGAAAGCGCAGGAATTTAAAGATATTTATCTAAACGGGATCTGCCAAACCCAGATATATTCGGAAAACATGGATATTTTTGTATTTCAGTAATACCATTATCTAACTGCACCAGTTATGTCATCACGCCTGCCTTTTCCTTTAACAAACTGATCTATCGTCAGCCATTTAAATCTGAATACACAACCAAAATTTCAAGGGTCACAGGGTCATGTAATACTAGCAATACGAAAGTAACTGCAATGCCCAACATTAAATTACACTCATCGCAAAGGTAATTAAAAAGATGTTTAAAATACAAATCTTCGGATACATGGAAAATCTCCTTAAAACATGGCTTATTTCTTCTGACTCTATTCTAGCCGAAAAATTTTACAAAAGCTATAAAAAGCTTGAATACACGATGATGTTTCTGACTATGTGTAAGAGTGACGTAAAATTATCAAAATCATAAACACTTACAGAGGCCAAAAAATACTTAAGTTTGTGTAAATATTGTTAGCAGTGAGCTGAAATCAAGAAAACTTTTGTGGAGGAAAAAAAATCATTGGATGTATGTGTACAATATTATGGGATGTGTTTTATATTATGGAATATAATTACCTGAACACGAAGTGTATTACAGTCTTCCCCATTACAAATACCTTTCTTTTCATAATGATCGCTTACTTCATCTAATTTGTTCGTAAAGTCATTGGTAACTACAAATAAAATTTTCATAAAAATAAAGTTTTTGAGTCATGAATTTCAAGAGTAGAAACTTTCCTGTGACGTAATATTTGATCCAATTTGAAGCTCAGGTCTGAAGCTGGTATTTGGCATTTGCAACTATGTTGTTCCATTGCACCAGTGACGAATTAGAATAACCCTTGGTTTGTTTCAGAAAGCCTATTTACACTCTGTAAACATTATATATATAATAGAAATAAAATACTGTTTAAATCATTGCACCAGTGTACGCATATTCAGTCTTTGTCTGATGAACCATATTTAACAATCCGGATGTCTGACTATCGGGATGTCTAACTAACAGGACGTCTGAGTAACAAGATGTCTGACTAACGGGATGTGTTACTAATAGAATTCTGACTAACGGAATGTCTAACTAACGGGACGTCTGAGTAACAAGATGTCTAAACGGGATATAACCATATCACTTTATAATTAAGAGTCTATTGACCAATACTTACAGAGTAATTCTTCACCAGCTTCCCCACACTGACTTCCTTTCTGATGGCATTGAACAGGATCTAAAATACAACAGATAGTTCGTTAATTAATATTCTTAATTAATTACAATATCCTCTTTTAGTGACTAAGACTATATTAACACAACACACTTTATAGATAACAATTACTGTTTAATTGTAACACGGATCCCAGTTAGGAATAAAGGAAAATAGAGGAGATGGAAAATCTCAGCTGAGGATCAAGGGGACCACAGGCTCAATTGTGGGGTACAGGGAGAGGTTTTATCATTTTAAGATGACCAGGAAGTCATTTCCTATGTAGAGAAATCTTTCCATCTGTTAAAACAAATACTTAGTGGTTTATTCCAAAATAAAAAAATACCACTGGTCATAAAAATAGAAGAATTGTGAGATCCCTGAACAATGTGAGGTTTCAAACTATAGGTTTGATAAAAAAGAAGAGTACCATTGTTAAAAAGTAAATTGAATAAAACAGTAATTATTATCCATACAGTGAGTTGTGTTAATATCAATCTTGTTATTCTAGCACCATTTATACAAGCTTACTCAGCAGCGATATACAACTACAGTCAACTGATAATACCAGTTCCATAGAGGAAATCATACTGGTTTGTCCATGGACGTGATCCATTTCTTACAGACTGTGGTCAGAGGTCAGCAGGTAAAAACAAAGCCTCAGGGTCTGAACTATTCGTGAAATAATCAAATTAAGAACAAGATTAACAGTAAAGCATGCTTCTTGTATTACAATGAAAACAAAATTGATTTCAATATTTGCAAATAAATTAAGAAAATACATAAAATAATTAATGGAAGTAAAATTAGTATATTTTATTCAAATTAGTATTCGGTTCAATTATAATATCTACATCATTTACCAAACAAGGAGGGGCTAAACAAGGCTAGAAATATCCAGACAAGAAAACCCCTATTTTTAAAATGAACTATTCTAACATACATGACACAAGTTCAAAGTTTTTGAGGGGAAGAGTTCATTATAAAATTTAAGGATGCCACCCCAAATGTTACTAATGAACTCTGCTAAACATTCATGATACTGTATCAAGTATATATTAGGTATGCATGTGTGGAAGAGTTCATTAGAAAATTTAGGTAGATCAACCCTATTTTTGAATGTGAACTTTGCTACCACACTGTATCACTGATAATCAAATAGATGTTAGATATATGTGTGAAGAGTTCACTCAAGGGTTGAATGATGTCACCTAAAGTAACAAATGAACTCTTCTAAACATGAGTAATTCTAAAACATATGGACTGTCAGTATGCATGTGAGGAACATTTCATTTAAAAATAGGGGTGTCAGGTACCTAACACATACACTATTTCTAGCCTTGTTGTGTATTGCTGGGTTACATGATGGGGATCTAAATGAATACTGTGAAAAAAGAAACTAAGTAAATGTGGCATAATGTATGTGCTCCTCACTCCAGACTCAAATGTGACAGTGACTAATTTTGTGAGTTCCTAAACTCTACAGCTGTAAAGAAATAGATAACAATATAATATACACATGCATCTTCTACACTATACAGGCCTGACCACTATCTTTATGATATGAATGTAATAAAGTTATTATGATTTTAGCTGCATGCATATAGAGCACAATTCACCATATTACTGGCATCTTACAATTCCTTCCACTAAAACAGAGCGCTAGCCAAACAAATTTGACCCACCCTGTTCCTCAGAGTTGATTTAAGGATGTGATTTTATCACAGTTAAGAGTTGTCGGGCCAATAGGGCGCATGGAAACTTCTCTAATCTACTCCTTGAAGATGGAGTGATATAAAACTTAACTTCACAAAGTCAATAGATCTTTTCGATTTCTGGAAATGCATTAAAAAATATTTTGTCATCAGAATGAAATCAATTGTCATATAGTTGGACATTGCCCCCAAAGATACAGGCTGGAAAAAAAATGATGATCTATGCATATTTTGTCAAATGTTGGCCTTTCACCCATGCATAAATATCATGAAGGAACTTTTCTCACAATACATATAAATCTGTCGATTAAAAGATAGATGGATTTTCTGAAACTGAACACTCCTCATAAAGTCATGTGAATATTTTCATTAAAGAGATTGACAAGAGGCTTTTTAAACTTCTATGTATATCAGGGACATTGATATCATCAATTTGAACCATTCCAATTTTCAGTCAGACGGCTGAAGATCTTGCAATTCCATGGCTGCTTTTGATATAAAAGGGCCTTTAATAGTGAAGTCATAAAATGCATAGCTAATATAAAAGTTTGGATTAAATCAAAATTTTTAACGTCAAATTCTGAATACGAAGTTTAAAATGTGAAAAAAATTGATCGTATGATAATATGTATGATATATTTAGAAGATGTCACCATACCCTCTAATGCTAGGTCTATATCATCTTCACAATGTCACGCTGTAACAAACTTAGTCTTATACCTTGACTGAAATAACCATCTTTCTTGTGTCACAGAAGTTTTTAAATGCAGCAATTTGATTGGATTGTATGTTGAATTAATACAGCCAATCATTCCTTGAGCAGAAAGTCTGTAAATGATAAGCCATAATGTTTACAGTTTTTCTGTTGAGGGTTATGATTGTATTTGCTGGCATACATTCCAATCATTTCTGTGATACAAGAAAAGTACCTATTGCAGTCAAGGTATAATTACGAAGTTCGTAATAGCTTGACATTGTAAAGATAGGTCTATATAGGTATTGTGATAACTGATTATACTTTAAACTTATTTCTTTTACAATCAGGGGCAATAATCCACACAAAAAATAAACAAACATGGGCATGTTATATCATAACATCTTTGCTGTATGTTTTGTTTTTTACGAACTTTGGGAAAAACATATGTAAGAGGCCAATCACAAATTTGAAACATGTCTTTTCATTTTACTTTTCATTGATTATTTTCATTCAATTTAACAAGGAAATGGAATTTAGTCATTTCGATGTCAAAAGGTCATAGGTCGAAAGTAAACCAAAATAATAATCATTATTGAAAATAACTGAGCTTCTGATTGGTTAAATTTGTTTAACTTAAAAATATCTGATATATTTATCTTGAAGAGAGGTTTCAAAGGGAGGGTTATTCTCCCTGATCATGATTGGAGCTAAGCAAGAAAAATAAATTTCTTGTTCAAATGTATCTAGATATATCTGAGATTTTTGAAAAGGAGAGTTATTGCCCCTGACAGTAGAAAGATAAGTATAAAGTATAAAGGAAAGAGAAGAAGATATTAAAGGTTAAGATATTAGTTTGGTACCAGCTTTATTGGGGGTCCAGCTTTTTATACAGGTTAATTCCAGTTTGCCTGAAACAGTGCATAGAGTGAGATATACTATCTGAAATTATATTCCTTACCCCACAGTATCTAATTCACCCCCACCCCTCCCCCTCCTTCCTTTTATGCTGTTATTACTTCAGCTCTCCAGGATTCAACCCTCTTCCTGTCAACCCAAAGCCTTTGTCCCCTACTGAAATGGGTTTGTATCCCCACTACTGTTCAACTTCCTTCAACCCTACTCCCATAACCTTTTTATTACCCCTCCCCTTGCACCCCACCTTCATGCCCCCCTTCATTCTATGAAACAATTTCGTTTAATTCCAGATCCCCATCCCCCCTTCCATTTTTTACTAGTTATCCTCTTACTGACAAATTTACCCTTAACCCATGACCTGCTAAAAAAACCTTTCGAAAATACCCCTATCTAAATTTTGACTCATTTCATATTCAGTCACGGTGCAACAAGAAAATCCACAACAAACATTCAAAAATAAATTTCATTGAAAAAGGAAGTCACACTAATACATCTAAAACAAAACCCATACAAAATTTGGAAAAAAACAAACATGTATTTGACTTACTGCTTGTATCTACGGCTAAATCAGGTCCTCCACACGACGATTCCACTTTGATTGGTGTGATGGTACACGTCTGGGTACAGTGGCCGTTACATTCACCGGACTTCCCCCTCATTCTAGTTTCTATGATACACTTCTCTTCTCCATTCTCCTACAATAAAATACAGGGGAGTGAGATTACTAAATGTAAAACTATCAAAGTTTGGCTGTTATCTTCACTAAATTCATAGGATTTTTTCATATTTATTTTTTCATTTTCTATAGGGTTCATCCTTGGATCATAACAAACATTCACACCAAGTTTCATTAAATCCACCAAGAATTCTAGAGTGTTTACGAGCATTTCAAGAACAAGGGCAACAACTCATACTAAATATTTTTCGATTTTTCTGATTTTTAATAGGGTTCATCTTTGGGTGATTACGAACACTCATACCAAGTTTCAAAATCAGTCAAAAATTGTGCCTTCTAGAGTGTTTACGAGCAATTGTGGACAGACCAAAGGAAGAATATGGCTGATCCCATTTTAAGATCCACATTTCATGTAGGTGTATAAAACTTTGAAATCATTGATAGACTCAAGGCTCACTACAAAAAAAAATAATCATCACAACTGACCGTTTTACAGATAACTCTACTTTCAGTTTGTTGATTTTTATTGGCCACGCCTTTCTGCTGACAGCTGTTACCGACTGGTTGAGATGGAACTTCAATCGGCGCCACACTCTGCTCTTTGATTAGGAATTTCTGGAGACATTTTATGGCTCGCAGGGAATCAAAAGCTTCTTGATGTTCTGGGATGATATCGAGAACAGTTCGGTAGTGAGAGATGGCACCAGAATAATTCTTTGTAACCCATAACAGATTCGCCATTAGGAAGTTGGAATCAGGCTGAAAGGAAATGAAAATAATAAGGGAAGTTTTCTTTAATTGTAGACTTACCTGATACCAGATTTTTTAAGATTTCAGTGTGTCAGAAAATCACACTGGTAGCTTAAATTAGATTTGGAAATTGGACAATGAAACTGATGATGGTTCAAAGGATTAGAAATTTGAGATGAGATTATTCAATTTCCATCAACATTTCAATTGTCGGTTAATGCAAGGTCAGAGCAAGTAAAGTACGTATAAGGGGAAACCATTACTCACCTCGGCATCGTTAATTTTCAAAGCGTCCTTCATCAAGACAATAGCATCATCGTATCGCCCCCATTTATACAGGATATTAGCCATATTGACCAGCGGTACATCAGCGTACTCATCTGGGGCCAGGGCTAGAGATCTTCTAATACATTCAATACCATGGTAATTATTACCCACAATCCTCCAGTACAGTCCCGCTAGATTGAATAATACCCAACGTGCTCCGACCTCCTGTAAAATAAAACAATAAGACAATATAATTAATACTATATTGCCATGACAACTCTCTAAATTCTTCAGTACACTACTGCTAGATGAAAAATACTTCTAAAATAAATCTTTAATATAAGAAATAAGTTTCACTAATAAACACCAAATAAACTCATAGTGATATCAGGTGTTCCAGAAAGTTGAGTATATCTTGAGCCATAGAATCATGGCCTATAGAGATAGTTCTCCCAATCATACAGGCCAAATATGGTTAAATTTCTGTCAAATCGCTCTATAAGATGTCAGAATTCCAAACGTGGAAACCAGGAAAACTCTACCTTGAAACTGAGAAAAACTGACCCCAAACCAGAAAATAATAACCCTGATAGATGTCCTCATCCCACAGACTGAATACAACTAAATTCTCCTTGATACACAAGACATAGGTCTTGGGAAATCTTCACCTGGAAATTCAGAAACCATCCAAAACGAGAAAAAGTCGCCCTAAAACCATAAGATATTAACTGTATTTACCTGTTTAATGGCTGACAATATTCTCTGTCCTACTTCCTCTTCTGTTACAGTCCCTCCATTTACATGACTTAATAACGTCTGAAACAAATCAAACAACTGAGAGGTCAGCTCATAGAATTTTTACAACTTCAAGACAAGCAAAAGTCTCAGTATCCATTAGTGCTGGGAATCAAGTTTAAAATTATCATCCATTATCAACAATATATATCGTTAGGCATAATCTCAGTATCCATCATGAATGCTTTTGCCCAAAGGGATTGTAATGGGGTTTTCTTTACTCTTTGTGTACATTTGGGGCACTGAGTGCATTGATTTGCACCATTCCAATTGTCAATCAGGCACCTGTGGGTCATTCTAAGTAAAATTGTGTAAGAGGAGTCAGATGTATTAGGGAAAGTTAATTGTATAAGAGGAGTCAGATGTATTAGGGAAAGTTAATTGTATAAGAGGAGTCAGATGTATTAGGGAAAGTTAATTGTATAAGAGGGTCAGAAGGTTGACTAGTGGACAGCCACAGACATCTGAGAAACATCTTTTAAATAGAATCTATCCTTCTTACCTTTCTCATGGACGGATCATACATTTTTAATGGCACTTTAGTTCGACCGGGATGACCAACAGATTTTAAATTATCGTACGTTTTCTCATCATATTCATTTATAGTCAACAATGTAACACAGATCGGTGGATACCATGGTAACGGGTGTTCAGCACCATCTTTTAAATTTTGAGCCTCTGTCAACAACGCTTTCACCCTGAAACGAAATAGAATGGAGTCTTACACCCTACTTGTCTGTCCTGATTGGGCTATCGTAGACAGGCAATGCAATGCTGTGTGCAATGAGGGAAAATATGCAATCAGCCTACTCTTTTCAGATCTCCAAATTTTCAAGAGATCTTTACTATAGACAGTAGACCATGTTTTTATTTTGCCCCAACCAAATCAACTAGATACTTCACTGAATAATATCAAATAAACACCATTAGTTTTTCTCTAAAATTGAGTCCCGATGAATATTTAGATGAGCATTTTCATGTCACCATAGTTTGTTAATAAAATATCAACTTACTCAAAACCTTTATTTTCAGGAGAAAGATAAACTGTTGAGAGATTGAAAGGATCTGGACTGGTCAGTAGATGGCTATCACATTCTTCTTTCTCTGGCCATGTATTATCCAACTCTAGTTCGTTAAACTGTAAAAAATATATATATATAGTCAAACACTGATGGCTGAAACAGCATTGAAACAGGAGTTTTCAACCTTTTACTATCTATTATCCCTTTCAAGATTCTTGATCGGTGATCGGTGATTTTCTCTTAGGTTTTCTCTCACACCTTTTTCATGTAGGAGAATATAGTCTGACCGAATAGAATGAATCATAATTTTTAAATGAAATATTAAATAAAATATACAGCAATTTTGATCTGCAGGACATTTTCTATGAAATGGTGTTAAATTTTCTGGATTCTTTATGCACTCAATGACCGGCTGGGAACTTCTAATATCAACAGTCCTGCTACAAGGCATACACTAGATATTCTGGGATATAAAACCTTACCCTAGGGACAGCTTGTCTATCATGTTTAACGTACAGTGGTGCTCGAACAGGTAAATTATAATCTATAGCTTTCTTCTCGTATTTATTCAGTTTCAGTCGGTTTCTCTCACTCTACAAATAGAATGAATGAATGAATGACTGAATGAATGAATGGTACAAAATGCTGCAAAATAATTCTCTGAGACCACATTAACATTGTGTATATTGTAGTCATAATGAGATGTTGTAAATATTGTAGTTATTTTAGTCTGTGACACAACAAATGTCCCAAAGGAAAAGTGAAAAACTCACTTGGGGAAGTGTCTCTGTGGTTGAGATAAAAGACCCCTTCTATTTGACACAGGCTAATGTTGGTTGATCTCAACTTAAACTAAGTTACACAAACCTCTTTTTTCTGTTCCTCGAGAGCGAACTGATCCAACATTTCTAGAGTTGGCGCCTGTCGGTTCCAGGTACAGAGCAGAACTTGTTTACCCTCTCGTTCCACCATATTACAATATTCACCTAGAGATTACAAATTAAATTTTTTCTTCCTTCTGTTTTGTACTTGATAATGACAACAGCTAGAAAGGCAACACTATACAGTATCCAATGAGGGAAATTTTGCCAGTACAGCTGCATTAGCCTGCTCTTTTCAATTTCCTATTGGGATCTTTAACGTGCACAGTCTGTAGCACACTAGGCCTCGGTTTATTGTCACATCTGATCAAATAGTTGCTTTTTCCATATCAGTCAGTCCAACTTTCATCACTGACAGGGGGGGAAACCGGGTAGATAAATCAGGCCGCGTCACTAGGATGTCCTAGGTTCTTATCTTGTGACACTGTTTTCAGGATATGTGACGTCACTTGGTAACGGCCGGTTTATCTTCAACTCAGGTATATATTGCATAATTATGGCCGCCAGGGTTGAAAGAATTAACAGTGATTTCCATACCTATATCTTTAGTTGACGTCTGTTTAGCTTTATTAAACTCAAACGCGATATTCTGTGAGACTTTTTCTTCTTGTGAGACCTGTTCTACCGACATACGATCGTTCTGTATGTGCCATAAATCATGTTTCTTTTGGTAATCTTTTAAATCTCGTAATGTCTTCTGTAGAGATCTGAAAAATAATAGAGTTTACATCCTAAACTTATAGGACTAATGTCAGGCTGTGTACAATGAAGGGAAATTTAGATATATAACCCTTTTAATACAGCAAAAATCTTACTGTCATCTGCCAGCTTCTGGTAGATATCTTGGTTGGTACTAGGGCTATTGTTTTTGAATCTATAGTCAAGCATATTTCTCTTTATTGAGGTTTGATTCAAAGCATAAACACAAGTAGTGTTTTTTTCTTTGATAGAATAAGTATCAATAAGTATCAATAAGTATCAATAAGTATCAATAAGTATCAATAAGTATCAATAAGTACTATACAAACTAAACTTACATTGTATTGATTACTACTTATTTCACCTCAAATGAAGAGGATCAATCATCCTGTTTTTGAATCAGACCTGGATGAGTAGAAATCTTTGTTTGACAAGTTTCTGATTAAAGAAGAAAACCTACCTGTGTTGTGCCTCTAAAGCAGCCTCTAACTTCTGATGACAGAGCACAGCATGTTTTCTGATGGTGGCTGCTTCAAAATCAGGCTGAATTCTTAACGTGTTTTCATAACAAATTATAGACTTGTTATATTCTCCTAATACCTACAATATATCATTCATTCAGATATAGTTGATATAATGTTTATTACACATTGTCATTCAAAACTTATAAGAGATCAAATGTATCATCAGAGGTTTATTTTTGAAAACGAAACCAAAGGTGATCTCATTCTTCAATTCATCTAAGTGGTCAATCAATAAAATCATCTTATGTTAAGTTTTATTAACCATTCTACTGTTTTTCTCAAAATATATTTGGAGTTATAAGTTATATTTTAAGTCAGAATAATGGGTTGCTTACCATGATATGTATCAGTAAGTTTGAAAACTTCAATTCTATGAAAAATTCAAACATGACTTACTGCGTAAATATTTCCCAGCGTAAAATGATTGACATTGAGTTCCTTGGATAATTCCAGGGCAGAATGGACCACAATGGCTGCCTCGTTGGAGTACCGAGCTCGATGTAAAATATTACCAAGACTTATCAAGGCGATATCTTTATTTTCTCTAAAATATAAAATAAATTTTATAAATTTTTAAATAATATTGATCTAGTTAGTTGACAATGATCTCGAAAACAATAGACCATGGTTACTTAAAATCCATGGTTAGCCATTTCTTGAGAGTTGATTTGGATCTTGAATATATTTATATAAATTGTTTTCAGATGTATTACAACTGCATGAAAATGTATAATCTCTTCAAAAATACCTCAAACTAAGATGTTTACTTTCTATTTCTATATATGTATTTTCTATATATGTATTTTCTATATATGTCTTTTCTATATATGTATTTTCTATATATGTATTTTCTATATTTGTCTTTTCTATTTATGGCAAAGTCTCAAGAAAAGACATCATTTTAACTTTCTTTATTTTCTCAAATGAAAATACCAAACTTGAGTTCTCATTTCACTTTCATTTTTTCCATCATTTTACTTTTTTTATATATTCTGTAGCGCATCACTTTGCAAGCGCTGTTGCACCACAAATGGCACCAATTGGCTATGGATACACTTATATCTTTGTTCGAGTATACACTATCATAAAGAATTGTTACCTTGGTGAGAAATGAAGAGCTCTACGTAAACATTCAACTGTCATCCACGGGTCTCCTTTTACTCTCCAATAAAACGCTGCCATGTTGTACAACACCCATGATGTACTGTTCTATAAAATAAATATACAGAACATATATTAACACATTTTCTTATGGCAATTGTTATCCAAATATACAAGAATATATAATTCAACATTTTATCAGGGTTCTTGTAATCAAAACATACATGTGTATTTAAGTTAAAATTAAAATATATGATTTCCTTACCTTTTTCAGTTCCTTGGCTATAACATGACCAAAATCTGGTATTTCTGTTTTATCTGGTATAAAGGGGATGGCATGAGTTAATCCTAACTCTGCCGAACCTGTTAGATTCATTCTTTCCTGTACACCCTATTAATAGAAAAATATTGATAAGAAAAGAAACATTTTTTACAATGACTACAAAATTTACTGGGATCCTTTCCACCAGATGGTCTAAGACCAAACAACTTACGTTCACAAGAATCCTGTCTACAAGCTAGACCTTGTCTTCACGTCTTTGCATTGATATTTCTCAGATTATCTGTATCCATTATGTTCAAGCAATACTTGTGAAAATTCATTGTCATTATTGGAAATTGAAAAATCTTCACTAATGCCAATTCTAACAGTGTTTGTTAGGCCATGATTTCTTGTATAGACTGTCTCACAAATAATAATGAGGTTGCAGCAATTTTAAAACTTGAATCAGAAATAATACTAATAATAATAATAATGTCTTACCTCCAGATGTTCAAAACCATGAGGAGTGAAGTCTAACTGTAAAACTTTAGTACAGTCAGGTTCTGGAGGAATGGTACCAATCTTATTATCAGAGGATTGGGCTGCTTTCTGTATCTCAATTGACAATTCATCACTACAAAATAACAATAAAAAAAATACTAACATTAAACTTTTAACTTTACATTTTCATTATTTTATACAAGTTAATTTTACAGATTGTTGTTTTATTTAGGCATTTTAGATATTCTTATTTAAAAATATAAAAATAAAAGTATCTTAAAATAGTAAGTTAAAAAACTGTTATTAGAAAGAGATTATCCACATCAGGAAAATGACACAAAAAAAAAAAACATCTTCAAAAAATCTTATGATCAATTTTGTTGTAGGTATGGTTTCTGAATGAAAATATCAGCACTTTTGACAAATTCTAATGGTAAGAAATTTGAGAAACGTGGCCAAGAACCTCAGAATAAAGAGAAACTTTATTTAATGTTTATTTTATGTCTCCAGACATGTCTTTCTTCCAAAAATAGCCTGAAGTGAAGTTATGAAGATGAGTGGATAGCCAGTATTAGGTTGTGTTGAACTATACCTACCTAATATGTTTATGTTCTATAGGTAATATGGTACTAATATAGAGATCTATTTCTGGTAATGGCGTTCCAGCTTGTAAACAATCATAGTCACTCTTATAAAACTTCTGTTCCAATCCAGCTGAAATTAAATGGAGTGTTAAATACTATTATTCTTTCCAGCACATTATTGGATAAAATGGAGTTTGCACCCTTATTACGTGTATAATACATTAACTCTTATAGAAAGTTTGAAATTTGCCAAAAGGAAAAAGTAAGCAATACTCAGCTCAACTGACATCTAAAATCTCATTTCTAGTGGGTAATTCGGAAAGTTCTATCAGCATCATAATATAGAGCACAAGCATAGATATTGATTTTCTAAGACATTAAATTGTTTTATACATAGGCTCAACAATATTCAACTGGGATACTCTGGGGTTGGGTGGTGTGTGGTGTGTGGTGTGTGGTGGGGTGGGGTGGGGTGGGGTGGGGTAGGATGTTGAGGGGTATGTGGGGTGGGGATTAAAAATGCAACATACTAGTGTCTCTGTCTTCACTTTTATCAATCTCTCCCTTTCTATTCAACAATTCTTTCTTTAAATGATTTAAAACTGTTGCACGATCTTCCTGATGCATGAAGGCCACGAGGTCGTAGGGTCTTCGTAGATTATAGACTGAGTCAGCCTGAAAATAGAATCAATAAACCTAAATTATGTATCAATAATTGTGAAGACCATTAGATTGAAAGGTCTTCCATCAGCCTGTAAAAGATTTCACAAATGAAATGGAACTGAGCCTTTACTTATCCTCAAAAATTAATTAAGGTGAAACCTAGATTTTATGAAATGCAGTAATCTGATTGGATAATTTAAAATCAATTTAGTGATTGACCAACCAGATGACTGGAGCACTAAAATCATCACAGGAGAAGATAATGCCCCTCAGTAAATATTGAACTAAAAACGTAGGCAATGCCCTGAAGTGTGTAATGCAGGCCATTTTAACTCTGGTAAAAGGCACATACATTTTGTAAGATAGAATATTGCAAGAGAAATAAATTTATTTCATGCTTGTTAATTATAAAACCATTATCGTAGTCGTAAAATTAAAAGATAGCTTGCCAGGCAAGGTAACATACGCCCACTGGCAGCTGTCAGAAATGATTAAACAGTCTTTAGTGACTAGAGGGTTGCACTATATAGCTAATAGAGTGAAACGTCAAGTCAGACACGATATTTTGGTGAAATATTATCCGATCATCGCGAAAATCGCTAGGGATCATCTTCATAATGACATTGACACACAAAATAAAAATCAAAAGAATCTGTAAAGAATTGTAGCCTGTAGAGTGAGCATGAGTTGCACAATATAGCTAATAGAGTAAAACGTCAGGTCAGACATGATATTTCGGTGAAAAATTATCCGATCGTCATGAAAATCGATAGATCATCATGAAAATCAATAGGGATCATCTTCATAACGACATAGACATACAAAATAAAAATCAAAAGAATCTGTAAAGAATTGTAGCCTGTAGAGTGAGCACGAGTTGCACAATATAGCTAATAGAGAAAAACGTCCAGTCAGACACGATATTTCGGTGAAAAATTATCCGATCATCACGAAAATCAATAGGGATCATCTTCATAATGACATTGACACACAAAATAAAAATCAAAAGAATCTGTAAAAAATTGTAGCCTGTAGAGTGAGCACGAGTTGCACAATATAGCTAATAGAGAAAAACGTCCAGTCAGACACGATATTTCGGTGAAAAATTATCCAATCATCACGAAAATCAATAGGGATCATCTTCATAATGACATTGACCCACAAAATAAAAATCAAAAGAATCTGTAAAAAATTGTAGCCTGTAGAGTGAGCACGAGTTGCACAATATAGCTAATAGAGAAAAACGTCAAGTCAGACACGATATTTCGGTGAAAAATTATCCGATCATCATGAAAATCAATAGGGATCATCTTCATAATGACATTGACACACAAAATAAAAATCAAAAGAATCTGTAAAAAATTGTAGCCTGTAGAGTGAGCACGAGTTGCACAATATAGCTAATAGAGAAAAACGTCAAGTCAGACACAATATTTCGGTGAAAAATTATCCGATCATCACGAAAATCAATAGGGATCATCTTCATAATGACATTGACACACAAAATAAAAATCAAAAGAATCCATAAAGAACTGTAGCCTGTAGAGTGAGCACGAGCCAAATGTGAACGGGCGGGCGGACCGACGGGGTGATTACAATATACGCCCATCTTACGTGTGGGCGTATAAAAAGGAAATATTCATTTCATAAATTATGCAATTCAATGATAATAAATATCAAATAACTAGAATATTAGCTACAGGGAAGTAGAGTGTAATATTTTTCTCTTTGACAATATTCATTATATCATATTATAACACAGACCAGGAAAATATCCTGCTGCAGTTTCAAGTTGAAACTATGAGCTAACAACGTAATATGCATGATTAACATAAAGGTTTCATCCTTGATAGTTTTATCTAGTCATTATTTTACACTTTTTTCAGCTACAAAATTTCATATAAAAAAAACTTTGAATAAATAACCTGGTATTTCATTAAAAACACGATATGAAAAATAAAGCTAAGCTATGGAAAATTTTTGAAAATTTTAACTGCATATTATATGTGTAATATATAATTTTTTTCAGCTCTTTGCACAAATAAGGACTAATTTTAGTCATATTTCTTAAAGCTTTACTAGAAATAATAAAGTCAAACTTGTTTTGGGCTCTGAATTTATATGTTTGAATCTGTTGGTAAAGGTTTGATAAATCAAATTTTTTTTTAAAATAATTGCCAAGTTGGCTCATATTCAATAAAACCACCATGCAATTTGCTAATCTATTCATGTGCCGTACTTTCAACTTGTAATTGTATTGTGTCATTTGTGTGGTAGGATTTTGATTTTAAATTTTTATTTTGGACTAATTCTACCAAATGAGCCAATTATATTACAATACCAATGATGCTTGTCATGACAATGCCACTACGGCACTACCTTAGTGACAGCTCAAGACTCAATCAGCAAGGCCTGTTACAGTAGTCTACCACTACACCAGATAAGGCTAGGTATATAACAGATTTTCTTAGCACTATGTGTACTCAACCGGTTATGATTTCGTCTCACTGATTTTAAAATTAAACACCATAGTCATCCAATGTTACATTGAATTGTATTATCTTTTGGGAGGCCTATCTGTTATCATAGTGATGTAACAAGGCAAAGTCGAATGGGGCAACTTTCGGTCCATTTACATCATATAATTCGCGATCGAAAGGATGCAAGCGAATGACAGACGATTGCAACTTTACCTGGGACTGTATCCTTCCATCCTCCGTGACGACCCAGTGCATGGAGCCCCGAGTTAACAGACATTGCTCAAATAAAAAGTGCAGCAGTACAATCACCACAACACTCGACGCCATATTGTTTTGGACTGAATATTCAGTAGTGTCGCTAGTGGAGTTTGAACTTTGACCTGAACGTGGCGAGCTGTCAATGATTAGAGCAGGTGCCCGCCATAGTGATATACAACTACATTGGAAACTCATTGTTACGGTTGAGTTATTTTGCTAATTGAAGGACTGATCACTGTTTGTCGACATCATAGAACTGTATATTGTCCGTATACAGTTCTATGTCGACATCGACTGGAAGTAGGTCCGTTGTCAACAATTTTTTTTATTGGTTTGTTAGTTCATAAGCTATTTTCAGCATCGATTCTTCATTTTTATGTTGGAAATTTTACAACGCTAATAATGTTTCTTTTAAGGCGGAGCGCTCACATAGCTGATAATCTCGTGTTTGTCTTGTCTAATAATGTAGATTTGAATTGAATTGTGTATGGATAAAAAAAAATCCGTACAAGCAAGGCTATTCCGTTAATCAAAATCTCGTCCAGAGCATGGCAAAATCAGGAGTAAAAATATTATAGTAGTGGACTCCTGCAAACAGAAGTAAAAGAGTTTCGAAAAGAGTAAGCATGGACTTAACCGTTTTATGCAGCTGACATACACCCTCCCCTTACTGTTGAGGCTCAACCACGGACTCGAATTATATTTAACGTAGTAAGTCAGCCCATAGCCCTTCAATCGGTATTGAAATGACTAACACATGTTATCTGTTAATGAATGTTATTCTGGAATCTTGCTTTTTAGACAAAAAAGCTAAGCAGCAGGATTCAGTCAGTTTTATTTTTTAAAATTTTGGCACAGGTGGTCTTCCATACACAAGAATTCAAGGTCAAAACAGGTGCCCGTTGAAATAACAGTGTAATCCGATTGATTGAGCTCTTTGCTTTTGGCTTGTGTAGTTTCAAATTGCAAGGATGTACACCTTTTGCAAATTAGGTGGATTTCAATCATAACTTGGCGGGGCAGATATTCGGCCTTGACATTGAAATAAGATTATTTTCAGCTACGGCTCTCCATCCATTGTTTATAAATAATATTCTAGTGAATTGTGGGATTGATAGACCTGAAACAGCCGCCATCTTGACCTGCATTCTGTTGTTTTGGTGAATGGGATTTGTGTACACACGTTTCATGGTCTGGTGCGGATTATCGTGATAATCGGGATTAATTAATCTTAGCTGGATTATGAGGAACGTTTAGTGGATTAGTGGATTCAAGGTAGGCAACTCTTGGAGGATAACTCGCTGTCATCCGGGGTCAACGACCGCGATGATTTTTTTTATGACAACAAAAAGAAACCACATTTCTTTGTTCTAAAAATACACAAAATAAACAAATTTTGATCAATATTTTAAGGTTTCGATGCAGACAAGTTGTCAGAATGGAGGAGCAGGAATCGGCTTCAAATTCTGGAATGTTGGATGCAGAAACGGTGCAAATTATGGTTAAAAATCTCCCTGCAGACGCCTTCCAAAATTTTGCTGATCTGCCAGAAACGACAACACTGAGCACCATTCAACATGCATTGAGCAGAAGTATGTCAGTGCCAGAAATGTCAGAAGTGGTTGGCACCACATCAGATTCATTACAAAGTGGCATGGTGGCAAGTGGTAGTGGCATGGATTCTGCATCAACATCGAGTTATGCGTTGACAGGGGAAATAAATCCATCAACAACATCAGGATTACCCGCAATGTCAGGTAGGAACTTCCTATTAGTAAGGGTATGCTTATATTTCTCTGTTTTTTTTGTATTTATTGTGGTCGTTTTGAGTATAGGCTCTGAATATATTCTCTTCGTAATTCTATCCATTAATGGCTTGTCTAAATTTTATGATGAAAGCCAAAACTTAAAAGTCTAACAGGTTGGATGAATAAATAAAGAAGAAAATTAAGCTGAATTGAAAGAGAGAATGGTAGGGGGACATTTGGTTAAGCATCCCCTGTCTCTCTTATGACATACCGGTACGGATAGGTAGGCAGTAGATCTATTTGCCTTGAATGTAGTTGCAAAAGTTATTTTATTCATTATTCTACTGAGTGCTGCTAATACAGTTCTTCCAGAACACCTAATGTCACTCTGTGACTGGAGTTTCTCAGCTTAAGATTGGAAAAGGGGGGAAACCACTGTAAGCCTATTTGCATTTTTACCTCCTGTCCAGAAATTTCACTTAAATGCTTCACTATATGAATTGTGCCATAAGTGTCTAATGGTGAAGAATAACAATCATTGGGAAATGAAATACAAAATATGACAAATGTTCTGGCCTTGAACCTCATCAATAGATCTCCCATACAACTCTCAGATAATATTATGTTATCTTGTATTAAGGGAACAATAAAGTTAGGGTTCAAATTAAGGTCAACGTTCGCTGATGTTGGTTTCTGAATGAAAGGAGAAGAATAGGCTGAAATTTAATTATGTCTTTCACAATGTAATGGTTATTTTATGAATTATTTATTTGTTGAATTTCAAATAATCATTGCTGGTATTATTCATGAGGGATAGAAAGTATCCGCTATTGAAAAAAAAAATCGATTTTCAGAAATTTTCAATGAATTTTAGTCCAACAATTGCTCAAAGAAATTTGAATATCGAAATACGATGTCAAAATATATTAATTTATACTCAATTTTTTAGCTCAATTTTCAAATCATCTTCCTTCTAATCATTCTTATTCATGAGGGATTGAAAGTATTAAAAAAAAGAATTGATTTTCAGAATTTTTCAATGCACTTTTAGTCCAACAATTGCTTAAAGAAACTCTAAATATATAGATATCCTATTTCAAAATACATGTTTATTGAATAAGCTTATACTACTTCTGGGTTTATTAGCTCAATTTTCAAATTATTTTCTTACTTAACTCATATTTTTGTTCATTGAACCTTTGAGGAGGCAGGTTGTAGCAATGTTGTTTAGAGTGTTTGAATTCAACATCATTTCATATCATTTTACCCAACAACTGTCAAGCTTAGAGATAGGTATAGGGCTTCTTAGACTTTACTGATCTTTAAGCTGTTGGCTAGAGCTCATTAGATAAAGAATTTATGGTTTGCTCATGGATTTAATTACATTATAGAGAAATTATTGCCAAAGACCTGTTTCAAATTTGTAATTGAAATTCATAATGAAATAAGTCATGTCAAGTACATTTGTCCATTGCATAATAAAGATTTAATCTTGTCCCCATGTGTCAAATTTTAGACAGAAACATTTCCCAACTAAATGGACTTGAGATTTTTTACATACAGGTACCTTATGATCCAAGAATTTTAATTTTTTTTTTTACAGAAGAGCCAAGTAAAATGGTTGCTGATAGTAACAGTAATAAACAGAGTGTTATTCCATGTAAAGTTTGTGGGGACAGAGCCTCCGGATATCATTATGGGGTTACGTCATGTGAGGGCTGCAAGGTAGGTATTTATTTTGGCTTTAGCCCTTGAACTCTGACCCAGAGCGACCCAATATGGAGCAGGAAAGTAAGACGTAAAACACCATTTTAATTCATTTTGAACTCTGCGTGTAAATATGAGAAATTGTTATACCCTGAACTCCCAAGTTATATAACTTTAACGCAATAATAAGATATTCTCACTGTTAAAATAGTGTTCAATATATCAATTGTAGAGCAATATAGAAATACCACTGTTAAAATAGTGCTCAATTCATCAATTGTAGAGAGATATAGAAATACCACTGTTAAAATAGTACTCAATACATCAATTGTAGAGCGATATAGAAATACCATTGTTAAAATAGTGCTCAATATATCAATTGTAGAGTAATATAGAAATATCACTGTTAAAATAGTGCTCAATACATCAATTGTAGAGTAATATAGAAATATCACTGTTAAAATAGTGCTCAATACATCAATTGTAGAGTAATATAGAAATACCATTGTTAAAATAGTGCTCAATACATCAATTGTAGAGTAATATAGAAATATCACTGTTAAAATAGTGCTCAATACATCAATTGTAGAGCGATATAGAAATACCATTGTTAAAATAGTGCTCAATATATCAATTGTAGAGCGATATAGAAATACCACTGTTAAAATAGTGCTCAATACATCAATTATAGAGTGATATAGAAATACCACTGTTAAAATAGTGCTCAATACAACAATTATAGAGTGATATAGAAATATTAAAACAGAACCTAAAACATGTTGTTACTACGAGTTCTATCATAGAGATAAGCCTGAAAATAGGTCAGTTGTTTGAAGATTGCACAGCGTAAGACTCTGAGTAACAAGATGTTTCAAGTTCTGTTTTAATACCTTTAAGTTTAAAGCATATGACAATAACATTGCCAGTGTGTAACATCACTTTTAAGTTTTTTTATGCACAAAATATGAAATTTTGTTGATTTGTCAGTAAAATCATTATTTCAGGGATTTTTTCGACGTAGTATACAGAAGCAGATTGAGTATCGATGTTTACGAGATGGAAAGTGTACAGTTATTAGATTGAATAGGAACAGATGTCAATATTGCCGATTTAAAAAATGTCTCGCTGTTGGAATGTCTCGTGATTGTAAGTGACTTTTATTGTCAGAAGCATTTAAATTTAGTATTTATTAGGCCTTTATGTCTCTTCGCATTAATGGTCCTCATTCAGTTGGGAATATGGTGTTTAAAACTCAGAGAGTAAGATGTATAACTCTTATTTCATTTGATAAGTCCAGTTTACAGGACAGTAGGATCTAGAGCTATCATTTAATTCATGCATTTATTCATTCAAGCTGTACGTTATGGAAGAGTGCCAAAAAGATCAAAAAGTCAAGACCATGATCAAAGAGTGAGTTCTACAGACAACTTGCAGGAACAGACGGCGCTAGAAAGTAAACAACTGGCTATATATGATGTGATTCTCAGTATCTCGCAGGCCCATCATGCACATTGTGCTGTCACTGAAGATAAGATGAAAAATTTTACAAGAAAAAATGCAACTCTGGTAAGAATTTTTGAAGATCTTTATCAAAAATTTCATAGGCAAGTGCATTCATCCATTTAGGGCACTGGTGGTGGTACAGTGAGAGAACTGTTAAAACCATTTCCTGAGAAAGTGTTATATTAGTATTAATTGAATGTTAGTAAGAGCCCAGATATTTAGACTTATTTTTCAGTAATTTAAAGTGAACAGGCGAGTATTTCATGCTAAGAATTTGGACAACTAAAATAAAGATCTGTCAACTATGAAAGCAAATCAGCCTTTAAAAAAATGTACCAATAAGACAAAATTTTAAATATTATATTTAATTTGTAGGTAGAGAAAATCGAATGTACAGATGGAGCATTACAATTCACAGATGAACAGATGGAGGCCCAGAGACTCTCCATGTGGTGTCAGCTAGCTAAATTAATTACCCCTTCAGTTCATAGTGTTGTCGAGTTCGCTAAACGTGTACCAAGTAGGTCGTTTTTACCCTAGTTTAAGGGATAGGGAAACCCCTGGATTGGGGCTCGATGGTAGTGTCTGCTGACAAAACATTGGTAGAAGTTAATGAACTTTTCACACATGAGGAAGTATAACAATCATCAATTCTTCAGTTTTATGGATATAGACTTCTACCGGTATTTATTATTTAAACACAATGTTTCATTACACATACAGGTAAGTGATTAAACGTAGTGTTCAAATAATAAATTGAAGTTTATATCCATAAAACTCTTGTTTCTTAATGTTCTGTGATACATCTAAATGTCTTACAAGGATTAAATTAAATGTTGTTTGTGTTATTTTCTAGGTTTTTCAGAGTTAAGTCAAGATGATCAGCTGATATTAATTAAAGCAGGTTTTTTTGAGGTTTGGTTAACAAGAATGAGTCGAATGTTTAATCGTAATGAAAACTTAGTCACGTTCGAAGACGGAAGTATGATACACAAGGATGAGTTGTCTGTCGTTTTTTCAGTAAGTTTCTTTAATGATGCTGCATTGCAATCATATTATAATCCATATGAATTTTTGTTTTCCTTTTTCAGAGAATTGAAGAGAGTAAATTGTAATAGTGTGTCAGTCACCCATTTGATACCCCTTAACCTTGTAATGAACTCTTCAGCACATGTGCATTTCCTATTCATGTCATACAGTTTTATGGTTGATCAGGAGAGTTCATTTGGTAAATCAGGGTGAATATTTGCCTTGCAATTGTTGTAATGTAATAAATATATTGTTCTATTTACAGCCAGCGTTTGTGAGTTCGTTGTTTGATGTATCAACTAGTTTTAATCATCTCAATCTTAACGATACAGAAGTTGGGTTATTTACTGGTATTGTACTTGCTACTGCTGGTAAGGATGTTTTTTATATATCCACTATATTTTGTATGAAATTGAAGCCTTTTTCTGTGCGTTAATCTTTTTGTTCATATGAAATGGTGTTTCAGTTTACAACTTATTAGCTTTAAGCTGTCCTGATAAGGGTTTTGTATCTGAAACATGTATCAACAGCATGATACTCTCATCAATTAAACGTGGACTAACTCCTTGTCCTGATGAGGACATTATATCATAAACACATGTCAGCACCTTAAATTAAACTCTTTAATATCTGCCTAATTTCAGATCGTCCTGGTCTGTCTGATTCTAAAGGCGTGGAACAGATTCAAGATAAATTAATCGAAGCTTTAAAATTACAAGTCAGTCGCAACCACTCAACGGAGGAGAATCTATTTGCATCGATCATCATGAAATTCCCGGAATTAAGAACTCTCGGTCACCAGCATAATGAGTTATTGAAGTGGTATCGCGTACAGTGGAATCGTATCAGCCTACCTCCTCTATTTGCAGAGATTTATGACATACCAAAACAAGAAGACGTCTCTCAGGTCCCTGCGGCCTACACCGTTTAGTTTTTATGATCATCATCGTTTTTTATTCAGGTTTCATTTTTTTAATATATTGGAGTGAATTTTATTCCAAGAAAGAGAGAGATCTAAGCGTTTTTTGAAAAAGAATATTTGGAAGATTTTATACTTGTGAAAACTGCTCCGTAGTTTATAGGAGAGAATAGTTTTAAAGAGTTTCATTGCATGGTTTTGAGAAAGAAATTTGTGTGAACAATTTTATAAATGTAAAGGATGTGTGAAACCCTTTTAAGAAAGAAGATTTTAAAATATTTTTGACCAAGCAGAGGCACTAACAATTAAAGAAGAAATTCTACAAACAATTTTAAATACGTGTGAGGAAAGTGAAACCTTTTGAAATATTTTTCCCAGAAAGGCAGTTCGGAGCAGCTATATTTTATTTGGGGATGAGATATTAAAATGGAAGGAATTTGTTTGGTTCGAAGAATTCGTGAGAAAATTTTAATTCTGAGCTCCACATTGGTAAAGTTTTGAAGAGACAAGATCTATAGTTAAGGTGAAATGAATATGAATGACGTTCTCGAATTGGGTGGAAATTTTTAAACTCTTACCTCTATGATCGAAAAGTTTAAAAAAAGAAAAGTGAAAAAAGGAAGAAAAGACAACCAGCATTTTGAGGAAAAAAATCATTTAACTCTCAGGTTCAGACAAAATTTTAGTGTTCTTTAGTCAAACTTCCTCAGATATGGTTGAAAACTAGCATGATTGATCAAAATATGGCATATTATTGCTATTTGTAGGGCAATATATGACCCATTATTGCTATATAATGGCCCATTATGGCTATAGGTGGCCCATTATGGCTATTTATAGGACAATATTGTTATAGATTGTCTATTATGGCTATAGATGGTCCATTATGGCTATATATGGCCTATAATGACTATTGGAGGGCATTATGCTACATATGGCTGTCCCATTATTGCTATATGTGGCCCATTATGGCTATATTTGGCTCATTATTGTTAAATAATTGTGGCCCATTATGGCTATAGATGGCCCATTATGGCTATTTATAGGACAATATTGTTATAGATTGTCTATTATGGCTATAGATGGTCCATTATGGCTATATATGGCCTATAATGAGTATTGGAGGGCATTATGCTACATATGGATGTCCCATTATTGCTATATGTGGCCCATTATGGCTATAATTGGCTCATTATTGTTAAATAATTGTGGCCTATTATGTCTATTTGAAGGGCAATATAGCTATATATGGCCCATTATTGCTATAGATGACCCATTATGGACATACATGGCCTATAATGGCTCTTTGTAGGGCATTATGCTATATATGGTTACTTATAGGGCATTTAAGCTAAAAATTGTCCATTATTCCAAGCAAGAAAGTGCTAAATTAGTTAAAAAAAAATATTCAAGAACGTATTGTAAAAATTATTTCTATATTGATGTATAGTGCTTCAGTGAATGTACTTTTATGTATTATGGTATCTGTTTAAAGGTATTAATTCGTCTATTTTTTTCTTATACCAACTGATAAATCTTGAAGGAATATTGTCGTCTAAATTTTAACTTTATCAGCTGATAGAAATTAAAGGAATATTGGTATCTATTATTTCCTTTTATTTGCTATTGTAATCAAAGATATCTATGTGCTTTCAGCTGATACAGCAAATATTTAGACTACCAAATCCCTTCAAAGATAGACTTTTATTCTATAGATGACCTTCGCATTTTTTGAAGGTCGTGAATATTGACCAACCAAAATGACAATGTTTGTCACATGATCAAATTTTAGTCAAATTAATTGATTTTTTTATGTTAAATATGTTTTTATATAATGAATTTTTTTTATCTGAAAATGGAATAATTGTAGAAAGCATAATGTGGGAAATTGAAATGAAAATCAAATTTTCAAAAAGGTTAAACAATTTTATGAATTAAACTTTGTCGTTTGAGGACTTGCATGTACAATTTTAGCTGTTATCAAGGAATTATTTTATATGAATATTATGACCTATTTGGCAAATTGTAGGGCCTAGTATGTTATTAGGAATTTTGGGATTAAAAATGAAACAGAAAATACTGCTCTTAGGTGAAATTAAAAATGAATTCAGTTTTATGATTAAAATTGATAGATTCAGTTTGAAACATGATTTGAAGCATTTTATATAAAGATCTATATTAGTTTTGCTCAGGGATAATTTAGCATTCTTTCTTTATGTTTAATTTCATAAATCATCTCTGGCAAGTCTTAACATCACTTATTTTGCAGTCTAATTTCAAATTAGAACAAACTTTCATTCCGTTTTTTATTAGCTTTTATTTTTATATATTCAAAAGGGCTGCGTTAGACCCTAACTGAAGTGGCTATATTAAAAATAAAAGGTAATAGAAGAACAGAACAAATGTTTGGTCTAAATTTCTTTTGAAATTTTGGACAATTGCATTAGTTTTGAAACTTTTTGAAAGATATTTCTGTAAAAAAAAATATTAAGAAAAATGAAAGAAAGATTCACATTGATAATGTGTGGTATGAAATCAACCAATCTGAATAATGGGTTTGGCAACTGGTTTCTAAATCCCATGATTTCATTGGTTAAATTTTGGTTACAAAAACCATTTGGTATAAATCTACCCAAGATCAATTATTTTGAGTGCCATATTTTTTAGAAATAGAAATAATTAGAAGTTCATATTCATTCATCAACTATATATATAACCTTCATTTATACTGCTTTTTCATCAAATATATTTTTATTTTTTGCCAAATTTTAAGCATTTTATCTATATTTTCATAATTTTTAGGGGAATTGCAACATTTTCATTATTTTTAGGGGCTTTGAAACATTATCAAAATTTGTTTAAGGACATAGATACATTTTCATAATTTGTAGGGCATAATTTTGATCATAAAACAATATTTAACAGTTGTTAGTATGGCAGCTATGTTTTTCATTATAATGTTTAAGCGAACATAAATCCACTGCAGTTGAGACCCTTGCCGCGTATTCTCAAAATGATCTTAGCGTTAGGGTGGCTTGGGTCTTAACTTCTAACATTGTTTCTCAAATGATAATTGATGTAAAAGAAGTATGTTCTCTTCTTGTGACCTTGGCCAGTGCTTCTATAGGAGAGTATCTTCTATAAAACCCAACACTGTTTCTAGGATATCACAAACTGATCACAAAGAAAAAATAAACATCTAGATAGATATGATAGTTAACTGCCAGACATTTCTATCCAGGGTGAAAATAATTCTTAAGATTCAGTTGAATATTGTGATTCTCAGACATATAAACAGCCTTGCCAGTCATGTCTGGCAAATAGAGGCAAATCAATAGTCCTGATTTTACACAAACTTTTTTCATGTTTCTCTGTTTAAATACCTCATTGAATTAGATAAATATAGATTTATTTAAATCTACATTAGCTAAGATAAAAACCAAAGAAACAAAGATCTCTTTTGTCATTGTAGTCCATAACATCTGTCTCTATTCCAGCCTCTGATAGCTATTTTGTCAGTGGACTGTACACCAATGAATAACTGTCAAAATATATATCAGAGGCTGGAATAGAGGCAGATCTTTCAGACTAACTTCATCTACTTTAGATCTGATGACGTTTTTTTATAGTCGAGTTCAGATTGAATTTTAATATGACTGATGTTGTTATTTATGCAAGTTTAAGAATTTATGTAGGATGAATTAAATTCTGAAATTTTATGGAATTGACGGTATTTTAGTTTTTCAGAATTTGAGAAAATTTTACAAAGTTTATATATTTTATTTGTAAACAGGTTTTTTTTTCATGGTAAAACTTAGTCTTTATCAACTCTCTTCTTGCATTTAAAATTTAAAATCAGCAATGAATTGTATGAATGAATTGTTTGTCTACTCGGCGTCCCTTAGGAGAGTCTACATTTTTTTTATTTAATTTGATATTCAGGTTTGTCTACTCAACATCCCTTTCAGAGAGTCTACATTGCTAATATTGTTAATTTGATATTAAGGTTTGTCTACCTGACATCCCTTTCAGAGAGCCCGCATTGCTAAAATTGTTAATTTGGTATTAAGGTTTGTCTACCTGACATCCCTTTCAGAGAGTCCACATTGCTAATAGTATTTAGGTTTGTCAAAATCTTTCTCCTTATATTTTGAACCTAAGAATTGTAATTTTAGACAAACTGTTTGTATTTGTGTATATCTCAACATTTATCATAATTATGTTCATTTCCTCTTCTATTTTGGATAGACTCTATTTTATCCTGTTTAAAAATCTTCACTGCCAGCTGAAAATACAAGAAAAATACAAGAAAAATACAAGAAATATGTGTCATCATTAAAGGGATTGACAAAAAGTTTTCTCAAAAATAATTTTATGACTTCACAAAAGTTGCAAATCTATGGGCTTTTACAATAGTGACAACTAAAAGGCTTAGTTTTATTGGAATGGCAAGAACAACAGATGTCTGATTGAAAATTGGAATGGTGCAATGGATGCTGCCAGTGTTCTTAATACCTGTAAAAAGTTTAGAAAACACCTTAACAATCCCTTTAAGCTGATATCAATAACTGGTCTCTTTACCTCAACTTGATGTTTTTAATGTTGACAATTTAAAGACTTTCTAACTTTACACCTAAAGTTGACAATTTTATATAAATGCTCATCATTTAAGAAATCCTGATGCCATTTTAAGATTGGGTTTTTCAACTCTTTAAAGGTGTTCAATCTTGAGGTGTCAGTTTTAAAAATATTTAAAATCTACCTTCAGTCATATTGTCATAATATATAATTGCATTATTTTTTTTTCTTTATTTCATTCTTGAAGAATTTTTCCATCAGTTTATATGTTATTTTATAACAAATGGTTCCTAGAACTGAATGACCTACATCTTTATTCCGACAATTTGTTTTAAAAATCGGTTAATTTCAATTTTTATTTAGAATTGAGGTCAAGGTCATAAGACAGTCAGTGTCAAGGTCAATTCTGGAAACAGTCATGGCCATATTTCAGAAATCAGCCAAGGTCAATTCTCAAATCAGTCTGGGTCAAGGACATATTTAAGTATCATCTAGGTCAAGGTTAATTTCTTTTTGTTCCAAGGTCAGTCTTGTTATAGATTTCGTCAAGGTCAATTGTGTTTAAACATGAACTGTTTTTAACAAGTTATAAAGATAAAGCCTTTACCAGTAGGTAACCAGTAGGAGTAGGTAACCAAATTTGTTATCTAAGTTTAAATTGATATTTTTGGAATTTGATCTTGATATAGGCACAGTTGGCAGTCCACTACTATACAACTTTTACTCTTGATTTTGCCATACTTTGGATAAGATTTTTAATGGAATTGTCTTGCTTGTACGGATTTTATTGAGATAGGTACAGTTGGCAATTATTTTCATACTTTTTAGATGTTCAATTTGGTTAATTGGGTAAGGTCAAGGGTCAAGGTCAGCCTTATCATTAGAGGTCAAGGTTAATTGTGTTTAAAAACAATTTGAATAGAAATGGTGCTATGTACATTAGATTTCAGTGTATGTATATTTGGTAACTTGGTGTTTTGTGTTGTCTGAAGGATAATTTTAACTTGATTTGGTGGGAATTGGTTTTAGTCAAGTTTTAGAAAGAGTTGGCTGGAGAATTAAATGCTACTATTAGAATGCATGCATTGATGGACCAACCTGATATGTTTTGGGTAATTCTATTTGTGTCTTTATAAGCCCCATCTTACTCCTGTCTCTTAAGAAATCTTACATTGAAAATTTGGTTTAATTGTGGACAGTGGCGGCGCCAGCCTTCTGAGACTGGGACTACTGTTGAGGCTGAATTCAATTTTTGGCTACTCTGTGGTAGTGTTATAGTTGCAGGCCTCTCATAGAGGGTTTACTCAAGAAAATTTTTGAAAAATGAAATGATTTTGTACATATTGACACATATTTTGGAGAAAAAAGGTAGACATTTAGATTTGTTGAAAATAAAGCAGGGGTATAATTGGGGGTGCAAACCACTTTTCTAGGGGCAAATGCCCTCCCCTGTATCTATTAAACTAAATAATTATTGTAAAACGCTTCTAAGCATGTTTCAAGGTTATTTAGTTTAATGAATTATTACTTAGTTTTATGTATTTATTGGATTATAGAGAGATTCTGTTGTTTAGCTGTGACACCACGTAAGTCCACTGTTGAACAAAGACTCATCTAAACCATGTCTAAAAATTTAAAGGTAGTATACCTTTAGGTTTTTTTGAGTAACAGGAGCCAGGAGCAGAATTAAATGTTTTAAAAGTCTATTTCATCTCTAATTGTATCTATTGTAAGAAATGAATTCCTATCGTTGTGTCCTAGTGTCTGTGTCTACTATATGTTAACTGTATCTTTTTAAATTTTTAACTCCCCCCTGTTGACTTGGAGGGCTATCTTTTATTGTAAATTTTATATAGTCAAAATCTCTTTTCATACTTTCATTTTATTCTCAGATTTTCAATTTGTCAAATAACTACCTTTCTTGTATCATGAAACGCAGTGATTTGATTGGATTGTACGCAAGCAAATACAACCAATCAGAGCTCTAAACAGAAAGACTGTATACAGGGCTCTCATTGGCTGTATTTGTTAGAAAACAAACTAATAGTTTATCATTGTGAAGATGTTGGATATTCTGATACCTTCTTTGGCTTATAACTAAGTCGAAACTACACCTCTCTTAGTTTTGAGTATATATTTTGCAATGTTCATATTTACTAGATAGACTATGGACAATGTGGAATATAGTGGGCTGGACGTCCCTCAACTATCCATGAACTCTTCCTCACATGCATACTTTCCATTAATATGAAGCTATAATGTATGATTGGATGAGCTCATTTGTAATATTAGGGGTGTTTTTCATATCTTGCAAATTATGTCCAGCCTTGCTTGTTGGTCAGTAGGTACTCAGATTCAGATGTTGCTACTTGACGATTTGGTACATGAACTTTAAAATGATGAAATTGCTGTTGTCCATTTTTTTCAAGAGTTGTTTCTGAATAAGTAAAATCATTAATTTTCTCTCAGCCCCCTTGTTAGGGTGAGAATTAAGTCCCAGCAAAACCTTCATCAGTTCAGCAGAGACTGATTCATTTACAGTGTCTGTGTACAAAACCAAAAAGATACGTTTTGGATAGATTTTGATACGTTTGGCATCTCAAAATTGTCAGAATTGAGTTACAAAATCTGAGTTCCAGCACCAATTCATTCCTGGCAACAGGTTGACCTGTCTGTGTAGCTAACAAGTTTTCATGCAACAGACCTGTTCCATATAAAAAAGAATCATTTAAGTCATTTAAAAATCAGGAACTATCAAATTTCAGGGATATCACATTTTTTTCTAATTATTTTTTAGTGTAATGTGTCTGGTTATCGACATTCAGATTTCAATTATCTGTTATTAGGAAAGATTTATATAGATTCTGAACAAATTGAAAAAAAAATAGAATTTTGAAGTAAGCATATTTTATACCATTACAAGTTTGTATATCATTAAGATCAGAATAAAAAATATTATAAATACATTTTATTTGTTTTTAGACTTTTGAATTTATGAATGCATATAAGTGCAAAGCATGCTAGTGGAAGGGCTTGCAAGCTACATTTATTTCAGTGAAACACCTTGCCTTGCCTTGCCTTGCCGTAGGAAAGATTTGCATGCCTAGTGTCTAATGATCTATGAACAACAAAATTAGCCTCTTTATCATGACAGAATATACAGAAATAAGCCAGTAAGCACTCTTGGTTTAAGTCTTGTCCCTAAGAAGATTCAAACTAGAAGCACATAATCATCTAAAACACACACAAATTTGCTAAATAGAGAGGTAATCTGACTATAGAGGGGCAGCACTACTGGACAAGTTTAGAGGCAAGCGCTTTTCGTGCATAGCTGGTGAGAGAATTGCACACATATTGATATTTGTTGCTATTTGAGTGCGTGTTATATAAGTGCGTTATATATACGGAAATATACAGTATATGGGAAAATTTATTTCACGATAAAGGGGAAACAACTCTTGTTTAGTTTTGTTTAGTTTTCAATTCGGAAGTTAAAGAAAGTTTGTGTTTGTCAACAATCTTTTCCGTTTCGGGGTCAAGAAATGGAGTTTTTCTGAAAAATGAACTGTATCTATGAATGTAAAAGGATTAAACAGGTACGTAGGACCAACCCATGTCCTTTATCGTGTTTATGTCTTTTCTTATTTTCTGTATTTTCCCACAAGAGCTTTGTCAAGTTAAAAGGAAGAGAAGGGTTCCGAATCTCAAAGAAGGAAATAATTCCATTGTTTAGTGCCCGTGGTTATGAGTGTGTTAACCTCTTCTCAATCGACCAGGAAACACTGCCGTTTTTGGGTAGGCCTATTGTCTGTTATTTTCCTTTTTAACAAGATTTTTACAGAAATTTCAGGTGCCATTATGATATTAAGTAAAGCCTACCTTCAAGTAGGGCATGGATATTCGCTTCAAGTGAACTTCAATCTTCATTCATACCTGTAATGTCCAAGTCCTTAGCCACAAGGAGGAAAGGAAGGGGGGAGGGGCAATGCCTGCCTGATAAAATGGATTGCCACCCTGAAAAAAATCTGACATCCATCCATTACTTCAACTAAACACCATACACCATTGTCCCTCCGATCATATTACTGGCCCCTCCAAAGGATCATATCTAATACAAAAGTATTAGGCTTATTTGCCTTGGGTGTAGCCTAAATTTAAGCACTGTATAGGAATTATTGGTTAAGGGGGGGGGGGGGTGTTGGAAAGGGAGGGGAAGGGAACTAATGGGTTCCCCTTACCAATTATATCTACAATGGGAATTGTGAAAGTACACAATCAACTTAACAAGACTGTCGAATTCAACTGAATCAACTATTCCTGACCACTTGTTTTTTATGTTTTTATAAATAAACTGCAGACCAAACTGCATGGTTAACTCTAATCTGAAACATCTGTCTCTATTCCAGCCTCTGATAGCTATTTTGACAGACAGCTGAAGTGGTGTCAGAAAAACTAGGCCCTCTTTTATGGGGGTTATTAAATTACAATTACGATGATTGTTAATTTAGTGTTGAGCTTCACTGTAACTTTCGTTTTGTAAGTGTGTCACATGACTCTGTGATCCACGAAGTTTCAAATAGCCAACAAGATATCAGTTTCGCTTTAAAAAAAACTTTGATGGAACACTAGACATGATGTAATTGATGTAGGCAGATAATGATAGTTTGATTGAACTACAAAAATATCCACCTTTTCCAGATCCAGGGTATCTAAATTGGTTAATAAACCCTCTCACAGACTCACCTTCAGAGGAGCTGAAAATCCTCACAAAACCAAACAGCAGACAACTTTCAAAATATCTATCAGAGGCTAGAATAGGGGCAGATGTTTCGGTCTAAGTTAACTCTAAATAATGTCTAATATTGATTCTGTTATAATTATTTTATAAAATGTTTAATTGATAAAATAATTTAATAACATTTTAATTGAGTTTTAATTGAAATATGACGATAACAAATATATTTTTGAGTTTGGAAGCTAGTTGACATTTTCTATGTGTAGACCAGTCCTAAACTAGCTAGTTTTTGACAGTGAAATCTTAATTTTACATACAAAATTAATGGACCTTTATTTGGTAAAGGAAGAGTTTGACCTTTCCTATGTGGGAGACTTAGAGACTTCTTCTTCTTACAAGGTGTTAAAAGATCTAGCTTTGCAAGGGGGAGGATTTATTGAGTTGGCTGTGTGCTACATAAACAAGCCAAGAGACTTCTTGTTAAAAACAACCAGCTTGCATTGGGAATAATTAATCAAGGCATAGTTTTGAAATCGAGTGTTGCAGAAAGTGGCACCATTTTATTGAGTTTGGTGCAGTATTATTTGATTTGTGAAATCTGATGTGTGCAAGCCAATGGAGTTCTAGTTTTTGTAAGAAATCCTGGTTAGAAGACTGTGGACTCATTTAATAAAAAGTCAACGTTTTGACCAAGCTTAGTACATAGGGTATACTAATGTGCTTTTGGGACATCCAAGTGTAGACTTTTGGACCAGTTTTAGAAATCCCAGCTTGCAGACTGTTATAGTAACTGAGATCAGTGAAACAGTTAATTTTGTAGCTGACATTTGAACTGGTTTATTATTTTTGTACACTAACAAGTCAAAAATAGACACAGGCCAGAATGCAGTTTTCACAAGGTGGGACACATGTTACATAATTTTTGGGTCACAGTTGATTGATGACTTGTGTCTCTCCACTTTTTATTTCATTTTTTAAAATGATGCAGGGTATTTTTGTAATGTCTTTATCAAGATGTAAAATTTGATTTTTAAAATCTAAATGAATGCACTTGGATTCCTCCACCACTAGTGAAATATATTGTCATACCTTTCTGGTAGGTGTAGGTAATTAGATTATGTAAGTTCAAAATGACCTAAAGGCATGGTCTCTTTCCAGTGGCGTTTCTGGGAAAAATTATTTGAGGAGGTTGAAATTTTGAAAGTCAGGGGGCCAAAGCCGGGCCAGCTTCTTTTCTGGGGGATGGGGGGGAGGGCATGGCCAGGCCTCCCTGTAGAAATGCCACTGTCTCTTTCTACCACTGTTTTTAATTGCTTATATCTCTATATATGGACATATATTGTTGTATGTTATATCATGAGATGCCTAGGTTCAAATCCTCTGCAATATAAGGAAGAAATTCTGATGCATCTGCAGGTGGTTTGACCATGTATTTTTGATGTGAATCAGCAAAAATTTAAAGTAAAGAGGCTTAATGATGAACCTCAAAATTCACCTGAAAATCAAAGACATTCTTATGAACAGCAAATTTCCCCTTAAATCTGAGATACAGTGAGATAAAACGTCTGTGACCTGATCATGCATATTGCTGTATTTAATTATATCTAATTAATTTTAAACTTTGACACTATCTAGCTGACGTATCTAAGTTGTGTTTTAAGAAAAAAAAATTTTGAAGTAGTTTATTCCTGAGTTGACAGAAAGTTGGTAAACTTCATAGTTTTAGACTGTTTTGGTTGAATTGTTGCCTGACGTTGATTGATATCCCTGCATTTAACCACAGTGTAGTTTATTCGGGGGTGAAAGCCGACACTGGGTGGACTCTCAGAAGCACTGGAGCAGGCATTGGAATTTTTTCAGATTATCTATGCCCATTAAAAGTTGAGTTGACTGGAATTATGAGTGAAGATGACTAATTCAAGGTTATCAGACATTCAAGCGAATGACGTCATGTTAAGAACCAATATTCTAACCGACTGTAGGGAGCCGCGGTGGCTCAGTGAGTTAGACACTTGCTCACTAACCTGAAGGTCCAGGGTTCAATCCCGGCATAGGTCGAGATAATACCTTCGGATTTTTCAACCCGGTTTCCCCCTGTCAGAGATGCAGGTAAGAGGGGCTGACATGGAAAAAGCGTCTAGTCGTTCGTATGGGACAATAAACCGAGGCCCCGTGTGCTACAGGCTGTGCACGTTAAAGATCCCTTGACAGTTGGAAATCGAAAAAGAGCAGGCTAATTTCCCTCATGGCACCCTGCATGGCGTTGCCCGTCTTCATTAGTCCACAAGGTGCAGAAGAGTAGGACGTAAAACTCCATTTATTTCATTTCTAACCGACTGTGCTATAGAAACTCACTCTGTATTATAATATTTGTATCTTTTATACAGTGTTATTAATGTATATTTTGCTAGTACTATTTAATACAGTGTTATTAATGTATATTTTGCTAGTACTATTTAATATATGTATGTATAAATTGTATTTTTGTGTATTTTCCAGTACTAGAGAATTGTAAGAACGTATCGAAACGTGTTGGAGGTATAGTGATCATCATCAGTCAGAAAATGGCTAATTTATTATTTTGGGTGCCAGTTGTGTTAACTATTTATCTACCTGTAGCCTTTTTAACAACGTAAGTTTTTAATCATCCATACTGGTCTTGTTTCTAAGTAATAGATTTTGAGTCCAGCTGTACCTTTACCTCATAATTTCTATGTTAGATCTTAGATACATTCTAAATTTCACATAGCAATTGTATAACAGTCATCCTATTTTTTATTTTATTGTAAACTTACCTGATGTCAAATTTTCTCAATCCGCTGGTAAAGAAATTAATAAGACCTATATCTAAAAGCGTTGTTGAGATGCGACAATAAACTTAGGCGGTCCTGTGTGCTACAGGCTGTGCGCGTTGAAGATCCCTTGACAGTTGGAAATAAGAAAAGAGTAGGCTAATGCTGCTGTCATTGCAAAATCCCCCTCATTGCACACTGCGTGACGTTGCCCATTTTCATTAGCCCACATGGTGCAGAAAAGTAGGACGTAAAACTTCATTCATTTCATTTCATTATTCCAAAGGAAGCTGAGGAATGGCAGAATATTTTGTTTTCACAATTTCAAATTGTAGATATGGTATAGCAGTGAGAAATGGTCACGTTAACAAAACATTCCCTTATATCAGGTAAAAACTAGAGACTTATTGTCAAAAACTTATCTTGGTTCTATTATTCCCGTCACCTGATTGGCCATTACTAAAATTGATTTTAAATTTATCTTTTTTAAACAATCAGATTACTGTATTTCTTAAGATCAGCAATACCATCTGCTCTCTAGTAATTTTGAGTACCTACAGTTTTCTTTGAATATCCAGGAGAGTTTCTGAGGCATGTAACTTGTATTTATCTTATGTTTTTCCAATGTCAAGTCAGTCCATGACATGTAAAGTCAGTTTGAATCTAATATTCAATCTATAATATATGCCCACATTATTTTTATCAATATTAAGTCATTATAAAGCTGCACAGTGGTATATTTTGAATTTAAAGACAATAGACTTGTGATTTTAATTCAGATTTGTTTTTATGTTTCAGTGATACTGGTACTGTTCCACCAGAAAGTTGTATTTTTGGTCAATTTCTCAATATATATGCCTTATTAGGTAATTATTATTCTATTTCTTACTCCAATTTTTAAAAACTTTCAGTGGCCTTTTATCACATGGATTGTATTTGTATTATGAATAGAGATTATGTGTATTTGTGTCTCTCTAGATCTGGGTCCCTATCTCATCAAATCATCTGATTGGTCAATAAAACTTCATTTGAAATTTAGTTTTATCATCCAATAAGATTACTGTATTTTCTATCTGGATTTTATCATTGTTATGCTTTTGAAAATAAGACCCTAGGTCTGTATACTTGTTTTCTGGATTTTATATTGGCAGATGCCAGGCAAATGTCAAATTTTAAACAGCATCTGTGGTGAAACAAGATAGATAACTTTCTATTTATCTATATTTTATGTACTTTTTCAATATTGCAGCTTTTATATTTATGATAATGAGATACCTACAAGTTAAAGAATATGTTCTATCAACGTATAGAATCGGTAACACTATGACCTTGACCAGCAGAAACAGAAAACTGTTGGTCAGTAAAATCTCCTTGGTGATTGGAATATTGGCCAGTATAGGGGCCAGTATGGTCGGCAATTTTCAGGTTGGTATTTGTACCTAAAGTAGACTGAACTTATAGCTTTGATTCGCTACACATCCCTTAGCTTTACGATGTCAAGACAAATCTGTCAAAGCCAGTTTGATTCGTCTGTCTCTGATTGATTGCAAAGACCAGAGCGAAGCGAAGAAGTAAGACAATATCCTACTCCTTCATCTAGCATGAAAATGAACTTGCGAAGGTACAGCACAGTTAAAACTTCGCTTCATAGCTGAGCTTTTTAGCTTGCTACGCTCGAGCGAAGAAAAACCTGCGCTTCACTTAGGGGAGTATAAACCAGCCTTTGGAAATGTAAGCTAATGCCAATATCCTTGGAAACTTTCCCTTATTTCCTGCTGCATTGTATTGCTTGTCTTCATTGAACCCAACTTGTTCAAAATTAAAACATCTAAAATTTTATTGTTAATTTCACTAACCATCACGTTTCTTGGCTGCTTATATTTCAGGAGGACAATGTAATAGTTGCTCACATTATCGGAGCCTACATGGCGTTTGGTCTTGGTGGTTTATATTCTTGGATACAGGCTGTCTTATCTTATTATATTCCTGAAATACACGGCTCATCTAAAGCAGCTCGACATATTCGAGTATTATGTTGTATATTAGCCACAGTAGCTTTTATACTTAGTATCCTTTCCTTACTTGAGATTCTGGCGGCGTATTTTGCAAACGATCTTAGCACTAGGATATCTTCATATAATTGTTAGAAACCAAGATCATAGGATAACAGTGTAAGAAGTTAAGACTCTAGGCCTAGGATATCCTAGAAACAGTGTTAGAAGATAAGACACTAGGATATCCTAGAAACAGTGTTAGAAGATAAGACACTAGGATATCCTAGAAACAGTGTTAGAAGATAAGACACTAGGATATCCTAAAATCAACCTTAGAAGATAAGACACTAGGATATCCTAGAATCAATGTTAGAAGATAAGACACTAGGACATCCTAGAAACAATGTTAGAAGTTAAGTCCCTGTCATATCCTAGCACTAAGATTGTTTCAAGAACTGTGGCCAGGTTGATATTTTTCAACCTGGTTTTCCCCTGTCAGTGATGCAGGTATGAGTGTCTGACAGAGAAAAGTGTCTTGTCCTTTGAATGAGAAAATAAGCCTTCTCATGGTTTGTGTGCTACAGGCTGTATATATGAAAGATCCCTTGAAAGATGGAAACTGGAAAAGGGTAGGCTAATGTCACAGTGCTGGCAAAATGTTTTCAATGCAATGCAATCAATCAGGAATCCTGTAAGGGGTAATAGAAAGGAAAAAGTTGAAAACGTCTGCTGTATTATAATTCCTTAACATGTACCTAGTGAATATATTTACTGCATTATCTATGCAGAAGTTTAAAGGGGACATGAAACATTGGACACCCAACCAACCTGTAAGTTCTCACTTCTTATCTATTGTTATTCTTGATTAGAAGTGTCATCCCAGATAGGCAAGGTGTCACTCACACATTGTGGACAGGCTTGATATTCTATATTGTCCCTGTGTCCCAAACGGTACCAAAATACAGTTGAGGGGTAGGCTTAACGTACAGAGTTATACAAAGCAGTCAAAATCCTACCCCTTGACTTTATTGTGGTACTTTGTAGGACACAGGGACATCCCAGATTATTGGCAATATTTCAATCGACACATTAATAGCTCAGCTGTGTATAAATACAAAAAGTTATACCAAATTGGGCTTTTATCTTGGTGAAAATTCTCAAAAACTATTGACCAAAAATGGGTCTGAGCAACTCCCATAAAAATTGACATAACTCTGGCCCTAAACACAGTTCAGGCCCCGTATTCTCTAGCGCTATGTAGGACATCCTAGCACTAAGATCGTTTCGAGAATACGTGGCCTGATATCCCATCCAAATATCACGTTGGAGGAAGTGGGTATTGCCAGATTTGCCAGTCTAATATCGTGGGTGACCGCTTGAAACCTTGTATAACGATATATGACGTGAAATTACCTTTTTTGTTAAAATCTTTTTTACCATTTCTTTTTCCGCTATACGTGGTTTTCATTCCTTGAAAATATTAACCTCGTATAACAACCAACCAAAAACTCGTATAATAGTACACTATACAAAGTTTTTAGTTTTCATCCGCAGTTTTCATTGAACCTCATGACTGTTTATATACGTGTTATTTAATTAGTGGTTTTTGGGTTATTTACAATCAAACTAAGAATAAGAGGATTTGATCATAAGATCTGCGCTGTTACGAGCTTTCAAACGGTACCAAAATGTCAAAATGACCAAATATGGCATACACAAGGTTTCAAGCGGTCACCCACGATATGTTGATTGACAAGTATGTAATATTAATGTTATTATATTACAGGGGTATGATGAACATCTAATAGCTACCATATCAGAATGGTTACTTGCTTTTATCTTATCTATCTTCTTCTCAACTTTTATTATCGAGTTTCGACAGATTGGTTTTAACGGAAGTGTTGTTTGGATTAACCTTCCTGTGGAAGATGAGGAGAGATTGTTACAAGCTTAGTGATTGGTTGAGATTTATTGTATCATAGAGACTATCATCACAATGTCAAGCTCTTGCAAACTTCTTCTTATACCTTGACTGCAATAATCACTATTGTTGTATCAAGTAGAATGTGAAATATTTATGTTTATGTCTCTTCATGTGTTCAGAATAGAAAAGGCAATGATCTATTTCACTAAAATTTTGTTTTCACTCATCTTGTATTTTTGAATCTTTTTAAACCTGGAGTTTAGCATTCTGTTCTCTGATTTGTCAATCAGAAAAATTAATTGCAAATGTATTTATCAAATTACTCTGAGATGATTGAAAATTGTACAGTGTGATACTTCAAAAATCTGTTTGTAATAATTTTCATTTTGAATAGCTTCCGTTTTTACTGTTTAACCCTTTTAAACCAAAGCACATGATAATACAATATATACTAAAGTGGCTGTAACCAAGTAACGTCACCGAAGGTTAACGTCATACACTTTAAGTTATAGTACAAGGAATTCAGGAACCCTTATTTCAGGGTATATGATGTTTTATTTCAATAACACTCAGTGTTCGAAGGGTTAAATTATAAGTTTTTTTGGTTTCAATAAGTACATGATATATAACATATATTAAATTAAACTTATGTAATTATCTATATACAGGTATATTATCTCATTATTTTCTACCTAGGGCCTTATTCTCCTAAACTTAACTTAAATAAAATACAGATTTTAATAAATACAGCATTCTGATAGGATAACAACACTAAATTTAAAATTGATTTTAATAATTGACCAATCAGATGATTGAAACAAATGAATTATTTTAAGTTAAGTTTTGAAGATTAAGGTCCCTGTTTAAGAGCTCAAATGATTTATTCATGTTAGTTATATTTTAAGGTTATATCATTCTGAGCTCAGTTAGTTATCCTTGTAACCTTTTAGATTATTGTATACCATAAGAGTTTTTCTTTCTTGTTGTAATAGTGCTCAGATTATTTAAGTTGGTTGTTCAAGTATAATAATAATTAAAGTAATTTTCTTTTCTCTTCCTTAAGATAATTTTTATTGTTAATCATGTTTATTAATTTAGGAACGCGTGATAAGGGTTGAAAGGCATCGGTTCTACTTTCAGTATCACTGGCTGGATTCCATTCCATGGCATACAGTCTTCCTTGCTACCGACTGAGCCATACCACTATCTAGCATACAACTTACAGCTGACTGAGCCATACCACTATCTAGCATACAACAGTCTTTCTTGCTACTGACTGAGCCATACCACTATCTATCATACAACAGTCTTCCTTGCTACCGACTGAGCTATACCACTATCTAGCATACAACAGTCCACCTTGCTACCCACTGAGCCATACCACTATCTAGCATACAACTTAAGCTGACTGAGCTATACCACTATCTAGCATACAACTTACAGCTGACTGAGCTATACCACTATCTAGCATACAACTTACAGCTGACTGAGCCATACCACTATCTAGCATACAACTTACAGCTGACTGAGCTATACCACTATCTAGCATACAACAGTCCACCTTGCTACCCACTGAGCTATACCACTATCTATCATACAACAGTCCTCCTTGCTACCGACTGAGCTATACCACTATCTACCATACAACAGTCCACCTTGCTACCCACTGAGCTATACCACTATCTATCATACAACAGTCCACCTTGCTACCGACTGAGCTATACCACTATCTACCATACAACAGTCCACCTTGCTACCCACTGAGCTATACCACTATCTATCATACAACAGTCCACCTTGCTACCCACTGAGCTATACCACTATCTATCATACAACAGTCTTCCTTGCTACCGACTGAGCTATACCACTATCTATCATACAACAGTCCACCTTGCTACCCACTGAGCTATACCACTATCTATCATACAACAGTCCTTCCTTGCTACCGACTGAACTACACCACTATCTACCATACAACAGTCCACCTTGCTACCCACTGAGCTATACCACTATCTATCATACAACAGTCCACCTAGCTACCCACTGAGCTATACCACTATCTATCATACAACAGTCTTCCTTGCTACCCACTGAGCTATTACATCCAGTGTTTTTTTTATCCCAGCTGAATATGATATTTTCTAGTTTAGGAGTTTAAATTATTTATGTCTATTGAAGTACTATGTTTTTATTTTTTAAATTTAGTTAGTCTGTATGTTATGAAATATTTTTGAGCTTAGATACAAACTGTTTAAGTTCTATTTAAATATATATTTATGTTTTTTTCTATTAAAATAATACTATTATAGCCAACTGGAATTTTTATTTTAGTAGTCGAGTAGTTATCTCCCTTTACTAACAAGAACAGCAGTTAGTGTCTTGAAGATAAGATACCCTTACTCCAACCAGAGCCATCTATTGTTTGTTACATCTATTGGGTCACCTCAGGCCCCCTCTTGCAGGCAGTTCAGAATAGGGTCTTACCCCTAGTTTTCAAGAACAATATTGCCAGTCTAAATCAAGACCAAACAGCTGTAATTCAGAAACATTTCGTGGGAGTGTCGCAAATTTTAACATTATCACCTAATTCTCTTAGATCTGACATCTTCGATCTGAACCCACTAGTCTTTACTCTGCAATTTCATCAATTGTCAAGTCGTTCGGATGGGACAATAAACCAAGGCCCTGTGTGCTACAGATCCCTTGAAAGTTGGAAATCAAAAAATAGCATGCAAATCATAGAACTGTAAATGAAATCCTGGCAAAATTTCTCTCATTGCACACTGTATGACATTGCCTATCTTCATCAGTACAATCATTTCCAGTTCATTGCAATTTAATTCAAATATGACAAAAAGCTGGAACATGTGACAGAATGAGGAAGTATAAAAAATATATAACGTTTCAAGTAGGACTAGAAGATAACTCTATTGTTTTATTTAAAGATATATATCAGAATACATGATTTTTATACATTGTTATATGATTTTAACATTTCTTGACAAGTTTTATAAATACTGCAAACATTGGCTATATTTATAAGAGACATTGGTCCAGGTTTATTAAACTAGATAAATATAAACATTCACATACAGTCATACTGGCGGCTTTATCAAGAGAAATAAATATTGTAGGCCTAATAAGTCTTTTAAAATCTAGTTTCCCTTTGCTCTGCTGTTACATGTTCTTGTAAAAGACTTGATATTGTGTATTGATACATGACCTCGCGATTTGATACATGTATGGTGGCATGTCGTATTGCAGTGTATCGATATATCGTGCCAGCACTACTTCAGTCTTTACAAATTTGCTTATAAGTGAAAAATCATATACATTGTTACAAGTTGCCCCTCCCAAAAATGAATGATTTCACTGTTCCTTTAAAAAAAAACATGTACAATCGATACAAACTGCAAAACGAAACTCTTACTCCAAAAAACAATTTTGCAATACATTGGTAGCAGCTAATAAACTATTGGAAGTATATGAATTATACATGAGTAAGTTTATCATTATGATTCAATCTAGAAGTAAATGATTGGTGTATGAAACTAAAAGTAATAATCATAAAAAACACATTAAAACACTAAAATAACAAAATGCTTTGGTCTTCATCAACAATAAAATCATAAAATATTCCGAAAAAATCATGAACAGAAACAATCAGTTTTCAAATTTAGAACCTAACCCACTTTCTCAACCAAATCACCATTGGCAAACATTTGCATTAATGGGATTGTAAAGAGGTTTTACAAATTTTGTATGTGTATCAGGGACACTGATAGCATCAATTTGCACCATTCCAATTTTCAAATCAGATGTCTGTTTCCTGCAGTTCCACTCAAACTAAGTGTTTATACATAAAAAATTTAGAAAAACTCTTTTAGAATTTCTTAATCATGTGACATTTTGACTGACAGCTAGGGTGAGGTTCTAGGTAAGTCTCTTTGGTCCCTCCGCCCACTTCTTTACCATAAATATTCCACTAAATATGATCTAACTATAATTCAATAAAAGGTATTGGCTTGGTCCTTGGTTCTTATTCATCATTATTCACAGTCTGGTTAAAATATGGACATTTATTTCACTAAAAGATCTTTCAATTAAAATTTATTGTAGGGTGAAAATATACATATTATCTATGAAACTTCAGAATTAAAATAAATATTGACAATACAAACTTACTGTGAAACAAGTTCTAAAACTTGATGTTTCTATGGTAATGACACAAATTTTCCATATAAGGAAGTCATAACTGTGTTGTAAATTCACACGATAATATGTCAAAGTGAATTTTAGCCCAAAAAATTATTATCATCAATCTCCAAAGTTTTAGACTTGCTGTCCTGATGAGGATTAGATATCAGAAACTCACCAGATGAGTTCTTATCAATTTAAATGGAATCATTCTCAAATAAATAACCACCTTAAAGATGAAATTCGATCGTTTGATGGTAAGATTGAAGATGAATCCAGGCCCTAGATTTGTTTACGTGATTTATAAATGAATTACGTTTTATTTCATCTGATTAAAATATAGCTGAAGATATTTCGTTTTGTTTATTTTCTGTGGGTAACTCCCTAATTCTTTTCTTAAGGATGTTGTTAAATAGAGAATGAATGAATAACCCACTGAAAATAAATGAAACTTAATATCTACATTTTGTTTTGTTCATATTCTGTGTGTTACTTCATTCATTCAAGATTTTAAAATGGTGTACTATCTAGAGCCAATATCACAAAAAATCTCAAGATAAGAATTTGTTGTAAATGTGAAATTTTACATTGAGAATTACCATATTTCCGACAAAATTTTAAAGGAAGGTTTTTTGGTGAAACAAATCCACAATAAGATTATGAAAATAAACAAAATATCGAGAGCTTGTTTCAGTATTTTCCTATGTAACTTCATTCATGCTAAGTTTTTGGCTTTTCTCTGACCTAGAATGGATGGAGTATCACTCAGAAAATAAATGATTCAGAGCTATTTTAAACAGACTAATTGACCTTTGGTATATATACAATAAAAACAGTTCTAGATAATTTGTTTCACTATTTTCCTGTGGGTTTCAGACCCAGAATAGTAGAATTGATGCCGAACCCTTAGAAAATAAATGAAACAAAATATCTACAGCTGTATTTTAGTTCCAATTATATTTGGAAAGATAAAATATTAAAATATAAAACTAAGTTGTTTATTCTTGTCGTTGATATTTTCTAGTACAGGTTACATCTTTAGCTTTTAAAATCTGAAAAATACAAACAGAAATAATTTGAAGTGACGAATGAAAATGGGATTTGAAATGTCATGATAAAATAAGTGGATATGAAATAAGTGGATTAAAAAAAGCAAGATAAGATATGACAGGCAGGCAGGGTAGTGTCCGTGGGGGCTGGGCCCCATCAATAGAGAATTAAGTCCCAGGAAAATCTTCTTTAGTTCAGCAAAAATGGATTCATTTCATTCATACAGAATCAAAAAAATTTAGATTTTGATACGTTTTTTGAATCCTCAAAATTGTCAGAATTGAGTTCTTAAAATGACATTACTGATTAAAGGGAAAAAAGATAAAAAATACTAAAATTACAGATTGAGAAAATATCAAGTTAATTTAAAATGTTCTAGTGACCCGGGGATCTAGTCATTTTTTGGTAGTTTTGTGAAAGTGAGATGTTAATGTTGAATCTAAAACCATTGTGTTTTTTTTTTATTCCACTGTCCTAGAAATTTCTCCAATTGCACACTGCATCACTTAAATTTGCCAAAACTACAGCAAGAAGTCCATTTTAAAATTCAGAAGTTTTTCAGAATATTGTTGAAATTTATGAAAAGTGCATCTTTAAGGTTGCAGTTTAGTTTATACACGAAAAACTAAATATAGAACTGAATTTACACTGCACAAATACTTCAAATTTCATCATCATCAGATACAAGTTCAGTTTAAAGTCCAAATTTCAACGATTATTATCATATTTAACATGTCTGGTGTAAATAAACCTGTTATTTTTTCATTTTTATTTTATTAAACTGTTTTTAAATAGAAATGTTTTAATACACCCTATCAAAGCAATGTTTATTCAAAGATATTTCATTTTATTATTGAGGATTTTGTAAGAAAATATATATTGAAATATTAATTCTAATAAAGGATTTGTCAAATGTTATTCACAACCATATTTGCGTTCCCAAGGCACATTTCTTACAAGATAGGCTTAGTGCACTTCACTGGAATGCCGCGATGACCTAGTGAGTGGGACGCTTGCTGGCTAACCAGAAGGCCCAAGGTTCAATCCCAATATAGGTTGAGATAAAACCTTCGGATTTTTCAACCCGGTTTCCCCCTGTCAGTGATGCAGGTAAGAGGGGCTGACATGGAAAAAGTGTCCGAGGCCCCGTGTGCTACAGGCTGTGCATGCTTAAGACCCGTTGAAAGTTAAAAATCAAAAAAGAGCAGGCTGCTTGCAGCTGTCCTGGCAAAATTTCCCTCATTGCACCCTGCATGGCTTTGCCCATCTTCATTAGCCCACAAGGTGCAGAAAAGTAGGATGTAAAACTCCATTCATTTAATTTCTTTTAAGTGTCATTCTTAACAACAGTTATTGGTGACAATGGCGCTCACTGTTTGTTTGTATTGATACAACTCTTATGACAACCTATAGTTATTAATGTTCCTGTTCGAACCAGTATTCTTCTTATATTTTTAAATTCTGAATGGATTTTCATATCATATATTCAAATTATATTCAAAATAACTGCACAAACAATACTCTCTCACTAGAGGTTAAGCCTGCATGCCTGTGCCTGTGCCTTCTTAACATAACAGCAATGTTACAACCTTAAAATTCCTAACACGTTCTGTTTCACTTTCTAATTGCCGTAGCAGCTCAGTAATGAGGCCTTACAATGTGACAGGGCTATAAGTGAATGTTTATTCAAAGCCATTGTTGGAAAATACAGGTATAAAAAACATTGTATTATGAATAATAATAGTAGATTAAACAATATTTTATTCAAACATTTTGTTGGGAAATACAGGATAAGAAAAGTTATTGAAATATGAATTGTAATAGAGAACTAGTCAAATTTTATTCCTGATATTTTGTTGGGAAATACAGGACAAGAAACATTGTAATATGAATATAAACTGAATAATTATAATACAAACAATATGCAGTTTATTTGATATATAGACAATGTAGAATATACTATTTATAAAGATCTATAGAAGAGGGAAGGTTACATTAAAATACAAAGTTATATAGATATACTACTTCTAGATTTATTACATACTACGTTTCGAAACACAATCATTTTACTCTTATGAGTTTTACGTCCTACTTAGGTGACAACGCCATGTAAGAGGTAAAATCTTTGTAAGATCTATAGAAGCAGGAAGGTTACATTTAAATATTAAGATATATAGATATACTACTTCTAGGTTTATTACATACTACGTTTGGTGTTAACGCTATGTAAGATATATAGAAGCAGGAAGGTTACATTAAAATATTAAGATATATAGATATACTACTTCTAGGTTTATTACATACTACGTTTGGTGATAACGCCATGTAAGATATATAGAAGCAGGAAGGTTACATTTAAATATTAAGATATATAGATATACTACTTCTAGGTTTATTACATACTACATTTGGTGTTAACGCCATGTAAGATATATAGAAGAGGGAAGGTTACATTAAAATAAGTTATATAGATATACTACTTCTAGGTTTATTACATACTACGTTTCGAAACACAATCATTTTACTCTTATGAGTTTTACGTCCTACTTAGGTGACAACGTCATGTAAGAGGTAAAATCTTTGTAAGATCTATAGAAGCAGGAAGGTTACATTTAAATATTAAGATATATAGATATACTACTTCTAGATTTATTACATACTACATTTGGTGTTAAGGTCATGTAAGATCTATAGAAGCAGGAAGGTTACATTTAAATATTAAGATATATAGATATACTACTTCTAGGTTTATTACATACTACGTTTGGTGATAACGCCATGTAAGATATATAGAAGAAGGAAGGTTACATTAAAATATTAAGATATATAGATATACTACTTCTAGGTTTATTACATACTACGTTTGGTGATAACGCCATGTAAGATATATAGAAGCAGGAAGGTTACATTAAAATAAGTTATATAGATATACTACTTCTAGGTTTATTACATACTACATTTGGTGATAATGCCATGTAAGATATATAGAAGCAGGAAGGTTACATTTAAATATTAAGATATATAGATATACTACTTCTAGGTTTATTACATACTACATTTGGTGTTAACGCCATGTAAGATATATAGAAGCAGGAAGGTTACATTAAAATACTAAGTTATATAGATATACTACTTCTAGGTTTATTACATACTACATTTGGTGTTAACACCATGTAAGATATATAGAAGAGGGAAGGTTACATTAAAATACTAAGATATATAGATATACTACTTCTAGGTTTATTACATACTACGTTTCGAAACACAATCATTTTACTCTTATGAGTTTTACGTCCTACTTAGGTGACAACGCCATGTAAGAGGTAAATCTTTGTAAGATCTATAGAA